TCCAAAGCCTCCCAATTCCTACTTGTCTGTGGGGATATCCTATGATGAAGTTCATCATAAAATATTTCCACAGACAAGTAGGAATTGGGAGGCTTTGCAACAAGCCCCCACTAGCTTTAGTCATGGCCTTAACCTATTGATGTGTTAGATATATCTTTACATAGTCTTAAATTTTCTTAGTCATGTCTAGTTAATGATACTTTCTTTTAAGTAAACCCATTGTCTTAGGCACTCTGCCATGTCTTGCAAGATATCTATCATGACACTCTTTTAAGGCTGTCTTCCTTAGTTCCTTTTATAGAACATACACCCTCATTTGCTTATAATAAATAAGTTTATTGCATTCCACATAACTGTAAGACCCAAAGTGAAGCCGAAAGGGCACCACGTGGTGGTGGCTGAAGTGAAAGCCAAACAAGCGTAACACGTTTGGATTAAAAGTTCCGGCTTGAAAGGTCGAAAGATTTCAGGTCCATCTCAGACTTTTATTGCTTGTCTTGTGCTCGTTCCTTGAGCACTTCGTTGAGAATTCCACTCCCACTCTCGACTTTTCAAATTAGAGCTTTTAGTCTAAATGTGTTATGTTCGTTTGGCTTCTGCTTCGGCTACTACTACATGGCATTCTTTTGGCTTCATTTTGGGGGTTAGAGATTTGTGTCTCATACAGTACTTATAGAGCAATATTGCACCAAGTTAAAATTCAATACAGCTTATCACCTACAGACAAGTATTGAATCAAGTATGATAACAATGACACTTTTTGACAGATGGGCAAACAAAAAGAATAAATAAGTAGTTGGAAGATTATTTGCGATGCTATGTGTTCAAAGACCAAATTGATTAGGTAAGTTATTTGGGACTTGCAGAAATTTAATTTTAAAATTTGATTTATTTTTAAATAAAATAAAAATACTAGTATATATATTTTTTAAAATTTTAAAATAATTTTAAATTTTAATAAACTATACATAAAATTAAGGTAAGCTATGGTTATAAAGTTTAAAAATATAATATTTTTTTCCATTTTCATATCTATATAAAAGTTTTTAAAAGTAAAATTATACCTTGCAAAAACTAATAGTACTATAATATTATTTTTATATTTTTAATATGATTCAAGCTTATTGGCACAAAACATTATTTCAAAAGTATAAATTTTTAAATCTATACCATACACTAAAACTATTACAACTATTAGTAGTTTGACATTTCAACCATTATTTTAATATTTAAAGGAATCACTAAAAAATTTATTAAAAATGTTAAATTTTACTACAGAAATTCTGTCATACTTAGAGCTCTATTATGTTAAATATCTAATATCTTTAACCGTTATCCTTTTTGTAAAGTTGTGCCGTTTCGATTAGGGCAACGTTAAACCCTAAACGTTTGAGCAGAGATCTCTAGGACTCTTGGGAGAGAGAACTCTCTGGTTAGTAATCTTCTGCAAGATTCGTCTCCTCCAGATGGGTGATCTTCCTTTTTGTGTGCGTTTGTCTTCCTTGCCAAGGATTCAGGATCGATGGCTCTTCCAAAGCTGGCAATGCAGCAGGAGCCCTCTTTGTTTGGGGAATTGGATGATCCGGAATGGATCGCCCTCTACCCGGAGCAGGACGAAAGCAGGGATCTCTTGCAGCGCGGCGGCGACATTCCCGCCAAATTTTCGAGCGGCGGCGGCGAGATGGTGGTGGTGGCGCCGCCATCGTGCTCCGCCGGAGCCGGCGGCGAGAGGAGGATTCTCAAGAGGTTGGGTAAGAGAAAGAGCTCCTCCGTCATCGTGTCGGACGAGAGCGAGGATTTCATCGTGAGGAAGCATCACGATTCCCTCCGGCAGCGGAAGAAGGTGTTCGTGGGCGATCTGGAGAGGAAGCTGGGATCCATGACGACGGCGATCGAGGAGCTAAACAGCGCCATCAATCTCATCGGTGGGGACAAGAAGTTTAAGGTGGTGAGAAACTCTTATCTCCTTCACCAGGGAGCGGTGCCACCGCCGCCACCTCCGCCGCCGCCACCACCTTCTTTCTTTGCCTCTTCCCCGCTTCCGGGAGGTGCTAGCGGCGCGAAGACGATCCGTTCGAAGAGGAGCAAGCTCCCCAAGCGCGACCACAGCAAAGGATTTGGATTTAAAGAGGCGAGGAGGATGATCAAGAGGCCGGCCAGCGCTCTTCTCTTGGTTTTTCTCTGCCTGGTGATGCTCTTCTTCCCGATCAAAGTCGGGATCCAAGGCCTGGGGAGCTCCCAGAGTTTTGGAGGATCATCACCCGCGACGCAGAGGTGGTCGACGATGAGTTCTCGCGATCACGAGCGATGGCCGCCTTCTACTTATGCTTCGAGAATACACGGGATGGAGATTCCACGCTTTACCCGCGGTGGTGTGGAGGGATCCAGCATCCCGGGCCGGGGTACCAGCGTGGGCAGTGAGAAAAAAGACGAAGGCTCGAGCGCTTCTTCTCCGAGCAGCAAGGTTAATGACTCTACGAACACAGCGAAAGTTGCTGCTACTGGTGAAGACGCTCCATTCATGCAGCAGTGGGACAACTCGGGTGAGAAAGAACGTTTTTTTTTCTTTTCCTTTTGATCCATTGGACTGGCTAAACTCTCGTGTTCTTGTTTTAGAGCAGTCTTTACGGCTGGAAAGTGCACCCAAGTCTTCCAGTTTCGATCCAGCTCCGAGGGGAATGTAGCAGGGTCCCGCATGATCCGGAAGAAACAGCTCAACGATCGTCCGGGACCCGGGATCCAACTCACCAAGAACAAAGTCGTGCCTCCTCCGATGGTGGTCTCGGTTTTGCCAAAGAAATCCATGTCGGGGCCTACAGGTGGTGAAGTTTTCGTCGTGGTGGCCATCGACGGGGTAAAGTATGTCACTTATTCGTGCAGCCTTCCGCAGCAAATCATGGCGGCAGGGCCGTGATAGGACCAACTTAGCGACAAACAAAGCTCAAATTTCAGGCAAGCAAATACCAAGCAAACTTTTCTTTCCTCCTTCGTTCGCACTTAATCATGATCACCGACAGGGAAAGAGCAACAGTGATCGTATATCGGGGTCTATGATTTCTTCGTCTGGGGATTGTGGTCACCAGCAAGGCAGGAAAAAAAACACACACACACACACTAGCAGTGTGCTGGGCCAAACGTCAACTTCGAGCTTTTGACAAGTGGACAGAACTGTATAGACGGGCTCTCTCATTCTCGCAGGTTCTCGCAGGTCCCACGAAGTGGCTGGGTTTTTGGTTTGGGTGGAACTTTGGATTAGAGTACGGAGCTCTAGCATCACAAATCTTCGCAGCAAACAGGAAGAATTTGCAAGGGTGTTGCAAGTGTAGAACTTTTTGGGACGCGTTCTACTTATCTCTCGCTTGGGCGAGACGATAGCTACGTGGGAAGTGTGGAGCGAAGCTCATGGGAAGCGTGCGGGATAGAAAAAAAACGGGATTGACTAACAGGGGGAATCAGGAAAAGTGGCGAAGAAACACGGAAGCGTGGATCTCAAAGGCGTGTGTAGCGAGTTTTTCGCCTATGATTTTTCTCTCTGACGACTTACGGGGGTCACTAAAGAAGCAATGACGGCGGCTATGGCGGCTAAGTAGAGAGACGCTACGCTACTGTTTTGGACAGAGGAATAGAAAACCAAGATAAGTCAGGAAGCTTGCGGAGCACTTAAGCAGAACTTGCGACCACGTTTTTTTTTTCCCACTGGAGTATATAAGCTCTCCACCGAGGTTACATTCTTTACCAAGATCAAAGACAACGACAGCGAGTTCTCCAAGTAGAGCTCTCTTTCCTTTTCTACTTTCCCTCATCTCCAAGGACGAGGAAGCTCAAGAACCTCTGGGACACAAGTATGGGGAGGAGTTCCAGCTGCTTTAATCCGCTAGCTTTCAGCCGGTCTCGAGAGAGAAGGATCACTTCCAGCGATGGTTTGAAGATTGCTCAAGGGCCGGACAATGACCGAGCGGAGTTTGGTCTCGAGTTTGCAGAGTTTGGAGGAGGATGTTTTTGGGGGATGGAGCTCGCGTACCAGAGAGTGTATGGAGTGACCAAGACCGAGGCTGGATACTCGCAGGGAATTTTTCACAACCCGAGCTATCGGGATGTTTGCGATGGGATCACTGGCCACTGCGAAGTTGTGAGAGTGGTTTTCGACTCCAGCGTTTGTAGCTACGAGAAATTGGTGGAGGTTTTCTGGAAGATGCACGATCCAACGAGCATGTACCGCCAAGTAAGTTCCTTTTTCCTCTTTTTTTGGATCTATTTCTTAGCTCTTCGCTATATCTTTCTCGATCTTTGTGTTCTTCCCATTTCTTATTGGATTGTTCTTTCTTTCCAGGGGAACGATGTTGGCACCCAGTACCGATCTGGAATTTACTTCTTCAACAAAGAACAGGAGAGAATTGCTCGGGAGTCGATGGAAAATCTCCAGCAGAAACTCGACGCTAAGATTGTCACCGAGATACTCCCGGCCAAGAAGTTTTACAAAGCGGAGCCATACCACCAACAGTATCTGTCCAAAGGGGGCCGCTTTGGATTCAAGCAATCTACTGCCAAGAATTGCTCAGACGTGATCCGAGCCTATGGCTGAAGCAAAAAGAGAGCTTTTTGTTTCTTCCTCCGGATTTTCCACAGCTTCTATAGGTAGTAAACATTGAGATCTATGAAAACGCAAGTTTTTCAAGCTTACTTTGTTGATGATCGCTCTGGATCGTCTTCTAGAGGAAGCTTTTGTTCGCAATCCATGAAAGCTTCACTGATTTAAGCTTGCTTCTTCGATATCCGAGCAATCCAAAAACGTTTTTTTCCGCTTGGTAGTTCAGTCAAGTCTCTCTGCCAAAAAATCCACTTGGTGAGCGAAGAAACTCCCTGACATCCACGAAACTACTTGTTTATCTAAGGCCGAGTTCCAAGTCGTGTCGGCCTTTGACAAGTCCACGGCTTTGGAAGCTTCTCAAACACCGTAGAAGTCAACCTTGGCTGGATCTACTTGTGTCGGAGAGAATGTCGTGCCGTTGTCCAAGATCTTGTCAAGAATCCAGCAAAGTCGGCCGCCGCCCCTCGTGTTCTAGATCCTGCGTTTGATCCTCCCTTTCTTGCTTGTAAATGCTCTCCATTAGCACGTAAGCCGCAGAGTCTTCCTTGATCCCAAGCAGCGACTCATAAGCAGCCTTTCCGACCCCCAAGTTCTTCCATCTCTTGCAAGCTCCCAGCACCGTTCTCCACACCACATCGTTCGGTTCCACCTTCATCCTGGAAACCATCTCCATGGCTAGCTCCACTTTGTTTGCTCGTCCCAGCATGTCCACCATACACACGTAGTGCTCCACCTCTGGAACAATCCCATACTTCGAGCTCATCTCCTCAAAGTAGTGCTTTCCTTGCTCCACCAGGCCGGCGTGGCTGCAAGCCGCGAGAATACTGATGAAAGTCACGCCGTTTGGAGCGATCCCATCGTCTTGCATCGCCTGGAAGAGCTCGAGCACCCGGTGAGCGTCACCCCCGCGGCTGTGAGCCGAGAGAAGCGCTGTCCAGGTGACCAGATCCAAGTCCCTCGCCACCACCGAGTCGAAGAGGAGCTGGGAGTTTGTCACGCTCCCACACTTTCCATACGCGTCCACCAGGCTTGCGACCAGAGAATTTTGGAGGCGATCGTTTCGGGAGATCTCCGCGTGTAGAAGCTTGACAGTCTCCACAGCCGCGGAAGTTCCACAGGCCTTCAGCACGGCAACGTAGCTCAACGCATCCGGCTCGCAGTACTCCCCGCACTCTTTCCTCATTCTCTGGAATAGCTCCTCAGCGGAGCTTTCCTCCTGGTTGTCCGAGTAGCCGAGTATGAGCGTCGTCCACGAGACGACGTTGTAGAAAGCCATGGCGTCGAAGGCCCGGCGAGCTTCTCTCATGCTCCCACACTTCGCGTACATGTCCACCACCGAGTTTGCGAGGAAAATCTCCGAAAAGAAGCCAAAGTTGGCAGCCTCGCAGTGGAGCTCCCGGCCTCGTTCCAAGGATCTCGCCACCGTCGCGGAGTTGGCTGTGGCTTTGGCTTTGGAGGCGAGGCTGGCACAGGCCTTGCATGCCGAGACGTAGCTCAGAGCGTCGGGTTCCAACCCATTGCTGTGCATCGCCGAGAGAAGCTCCAAGGCCATCTCGGCCTCCCCATTTTCGACGTAGCAGAACATGAGTCCATTCCACAAGACAGTGTTCCAAGAGCCACTCTTGTCGAAGGCGATGCGAGCGTCGAGCAAGCTCCCACACCTCCCATACATGTCCATGACAGCGCTGGCCACCAAGAGCTGACGATCACAGCCATATCCCACGGCTTTGGAGTGGACTATCATCCCTCTCTCCAGGGACTCGGACTTAACCATCATCATTTCCCCGAGCTCCATCACTGGCGATGCTTTCTCCGCGGCCGCAAGGCTCGTGCAAGCCTTGATCGCCGCCACGAAAGTGAGAGGATTCGGAGCACTGTTCTCGGGCCGGAGGAACACGAAGGCCTCGAGAGCAAGCTGAGCCTCGCCATTGTCGACGTAGCACAGCATCAGGGAGTTCCACAGCGCCACTTCTCTGTAGACCATCCTGTCGAAAACTCGCCGGGCATCCTCCACGCTTCCACACCTCGAGTACATGTCGACGAGAGTGATCGCCACGGCCATATCTGTCTCGCACCGGCAGCTCACAACTCGAGAATGTAGAGCACAGCCTCGCTCCAAAGCCACCGCCTTCATCGATCTCCCGTCAACGAGCTTGCCTTCTTCTCTAGCTGCAAGGTTCGTGCAAGCCTTGATAGCAGCGACGCAGGCCACCGCATCAGGCTCGCAGCCATCCAGTGGAATCTCCGTAAAGAACTCAAGAGCGAGCTCTTCCTCCCCGTTCTCGGCATAGGCGAGCAGCATCGACGTCCACGAAACCAAGTCGTGCCGGGGCATTTTGTCGAAAACTCTACGAGCGTTGGAAGTACTCCCACACTTCACGTACATGAGCAGCAATGCACTCGCCACGAACAAGTTGGAGTCGAGGCCGAGCTTGGCTGCCTGCGAGTGGATTGCCACTCCTTTTCTCAAGCTTCGTTTCTTGATCACCCGGCCGTCGGCTGCTTGAGTAGCTTCTTCTTTCACTGCCACCTTCGCGCAGGCCTTGAGCGCCGCTACAAATGCCCGAGAGTTTGGAGCTCGGTTGGTCTGCTTCATCGTCAGAAAGAGCTCCAAGGCCAGCTCCGGCTGCCCGTTCTCCGCGCATCCCATCATCAGTGCCGACCAGGAAACGACGTTGTGCCGGGGCATTCTCGAAAAGTTGGCGTAGGCGTCGTCCAGACTTCCACAGCTCGCGTACATGTCCACCACCGTGCTTGCAAGAAATATATCCGAGGGACAGCCACTCGCCAAAGCCTGCGCGTGGATCTCCTGGCCTTTCTCAAGGGCTCTCTCTTTGAGAAACTGTCCGTTGATCTTCTTTCCTTCTTCTCTGACTGCGATGTTTGAGCAGGCCTTGAGTGCTGCGACGAAAGTTCTAGCATTTGGCGAGCACCCCGCCATCGCCATGCTTGCAAAGAGCTCCAAAACGAGCTCTCCCTCGTTTTGCTCGGCGTATCCCGTCAGAAGCGAGTTCCAAGTCACAACGTCCCGGTATGTCATGCCGTCGAAAACGTTCTTCGCGTCCACCAGGCTGCCACATTTTGCGAACATGCTGATCAAGCAGTTCGCGACGTAGAGATTTGAGGCTTCACCGGTTTCATTGGCTCTGGCGTGCACTGATCTTCCTCGTGTCAAGTCTTTCGCGATGCAGCACACTCTTAGCTGATCGAGAAGCTCGTAAATCCCAATCTTTGGTCTCAACTTGGTTGGTTTGTCCAAAGAACTTTGTTCTTCCTGCGGAATTAAACGATAGAGCCGGCATTCGCAGCTTGAACAACGTGAATTTTACCTCGAGTGCGATCGAGAAAAAACGAGTGCGAGGTATCCAAGGTGAAGCCAGACGAGTGCCTGTTGCCAGCCTGAAGAGAAGGATCATCAGGCAAAGAAATGGCGCAAATGCAAACGAAATAGACAATGGGTGCACGAGTTTATACTCACCCAAGTCTTAAACAGTTTTCTTCACAGCATCCGCGTCCTGCCTTGATCCATAGACTCATGAACTGCAAAAGAAGAACCCTACTTAAAACCCAACAAGTTGAGAGAAAAAAACGAAGAACTTATACCTCAAGAAGCACCACGACTTCTTCTCATGGTTTGTATCTTGGCACTCTCGTCCAGCATTTTAGCACCACTGTATATGTTGGCCAGGAGCACGTACGCCGTCGCGTCTCCCTCGTCGAGCTCCAGCAAAGACTCAAAGGCAATCCTCCCAACTTTTGCGTTGCTCCACTTCTGACAAGCCCCCAGAACTGCCCTCCACAGCGCTGGATCCGGCTTAAAAGGCATGCTTTTCACCATAGCCAGCGCCTCCTCCAAGTGGTTTGCTCGTCCCAGAAGATCCACCATGCACGTATAGTGCTCTCGAGCCGGAGAAAACTTCTCGCGCATGGCCTCGAAAATTTCCTTTCCCTTCTCCACAAGCCCGGCGTGAGTGCAAGCGTTGAGGACGTGAAGGAAAGTTATCTCGTTTGGCAGCACCTTTTCCTTCTCCATCCCTTCGAAGAGCTCGAAAGTTTTCGCCGTGTCTCCCTGGTGAGTGTACCCAGCTATCAAGGCATTCCAAGTGACCAAGCTCTTCGTACGAGCCTTGTCGAAAACCTCTTGAGCGCTCGCCATGGCCCCGCATTTCCCATAAAAATGGATCAACGAGTTCGTCACCATGATGTCGTCCTCGTATCCAGCCTCCCGGATCTCTTCGTGGGTCTTCCTCCCAACTTCCAGGGCCGCAAGGCCTCCGCAAGCCTTGATCGCAGCAATGTAATGCCGAGCACTCGGAACCACGCCACCTTTGGCCTTCATACGCTCGAAGAGCTCCAAGGCCGTGTCTTCTTTTCCGTTGTGAGCATACCCCGAGATAATTGCCTGCCAGGAAGCCGAGCTGTGCTGCTCCATCTCGTCAAAAACTTGCCTTGCATCCGCCATACAGCCACACTTGGCATAGAAATCCACCAAGGTGCTCGCCACATATACGTCTTTGTCGTGCCTGTTCTTCACGGCTTCCAAGTGAAGAGCTCTTCCTTTCTCCAAGCTCGTACCTTTGACGATCACTCCACCAGATTCTTTCCCTTCCTCTTTTCCTGCTAGAGCAGCGCACGCTGCGAGAGTAACCACCGTTGTCCGAGCGTCTGAAACGAAGCCTTGAGCCTTCATACTTTCGTAGAGCTCCATAGCCACCTCTTCCTGTCCGCCTTGAGCGTAAGCCGCGATGATGGAGTTCCAGTGAACGACGTTGCGCTGACGAACTCTCTCAAACACCCGGCGAGCGTTTTCCAGGCTTCCACACTTGGCGTACATGTCCACCAAGCTTGCAGCGACGTAAATGTTGTTCTCACAGCCAGCCTTTGCCACTTGAGCGTGAATCGCCACCCCTTTCTCCAGCCACTTCTTCTGCCAATCCATCCTCTCGTCTTGAGAAGCTACGCTGCCGCAAGCTTTCACTGCCGCCACGAAGATCCTCGAGTCGGGTTTAAAGCCTTCGCGTAGCATCCGCGAGTAGAGCTCCAAACCGAGCTCGCCTTGGCCACTCGCGGCATAGCCGAGGATCATTGCGGTCCACGAGACGACGTCGTAGCGTTCCATCTTGTCGAAAACTTTGCGTGCGTCCGCCATGCTGCCACATTTCGCGTAGAAGTCCACCAGCGTGCTCGCGACGTAGAGATCACCTTCATGTCCTCGCTTTGCAAGCTCCAAGTGAATCTCTCTCCCTCTTTCCAGGCACTCGAGCTTGATCATCTTCTCGCCAACCAGCGTCCCTTCTTCTTTGGTGGCCAAGTCCGTGCAGGCCTTAAGCGCAGCGATGAAGATCCTCGAGTCGGGAACGAAGCCTTTGCGTTGCATGGCAGAGAAAAGCTCGAGTGCCTGTGCTCCATCACCGTTGGAAGCGTATCCCATGATGATCGCGTTCCATGAAACCACGCTGTGGAGCTTGATCCCATCGAAAACTCGCCGCGCCTCGGCCATGCTTCCACACTTCGCGTACATATCCACCAGCGTGTTGGCGACGTGAGTGTGTAGTTCTTGCTGGTTCTCGGCCACCTCCGAGTGAATCCTCCTCCCAGTTGTCAAGTCCTTGCTGCCAATGCACGACTTCAATGCCGCCAGGGACACGGACACCGGAGGAACTCTTCCATCTCTTCGCGCTCTCTCGTAGAGTTCTAGAGCTTCTGTTCTTCCCTCCACCTTGGTGATGATCGACGAGAGCGTCGCGGCGAGAGTGGCATTTTTCTGAGCAGCACCATCGCCGGAGCTTTGTTGATCATTTCTTTTGTACCGCGCCCTCGTCCCAGCTCCAGAAAATCCCTCCAAATTGCTGAGTTTGAGCTCTAGCCAGCACGAACTCCGGTCGATCCATAGCGCCTCTCCAGTGCTTTCGTGGACGAAATCTGGAGAGCTCGGCTCTTCCTACACAGAGAAGGAAAAAAGGGGCATTTGGCCTTCCATCCCTTGCACACCCACCTTGCATTGCCGGTAGTCCCGCCAGAGAGAAGGATCCTTGAAAAACCTCCGCCATCGCCAGCATTCGTCGTGGCTTTCTAGCCGCTGAACCGCTTTCATCCATAAACCCTAAACGCTAACATCTGCATCTTTTCAAGAATATTCGTGCGCGGGATTAAGATTTTAAAGTTCAAACACTTCACAAACTCTTTCACTGTTCTTCCTCGTCCTCTTCGTTCTTCACCGGAGACTCTCCACCGCGATCTCCTCCCGCGCCATGGCTGCCATTCTCCATTGGGCTCGCCACTCTCCTCTTGGGCGATGGACTCTCGCGAGCATTCTCCTCCGGGGACAGGCTTCTCCGGCCCCTCGCCTCTGGCGACCAGCGTCGGGGATTGCCATCCGGGGACAAGCTGCCGCGGCCTCGAGCTCCCGGCGAGCGCTCCTCTCGGCGAGGATTTCTGTCCGGAGACAAGCTGCTGCGGTTTCGCGTCTCCATTGGCGATCGGCTGCGCGGGTTTCCATCCGGAGATGGGCTGCGGTGCCGTGGTGCTGGCGACCCGCGACGGCGTCCTTCCGGAGAACCTCTTGGTGGTGGTGATCCACGACGACGGTGGCCTTCCGGAGAGCCTCTTGGTGGTGGTGATCCACGACGACGGTGGCCATCCGGTGACAAGCTACGGCCTCTTGATGGTGGTGAACCGCGGCGGTGGCCTTCCGGAGACAAGCTGCGGCGTCTTGGTGGTGGTGACCTGCGAGCATTCCCATCTGGAGAGACGCTGCGCTTTCGTGCGGCAGGCGAGCGGCTTCTATCGTCTTTGACGGGACTCGCGCTGTACCTTCGACTCCGGCTATACTTTCTTCTCGGAGAGCGACTGCGAATAACAAGTTTGAGCGAAGAGGAGAAGAAAAGAGAGAACACCAACCTGGGCGATCTGCTACGGCTTCTCCTACGTTCCATTGATCGAGAACGCGATCTAGAGTGCCTGTCAAGAGACAAACATAATTGTAATCAGCGATGAACGAGACTCTCGGCTAAAGTTTTTCTCGAGACACCTGCTAAACGAGCGTGGACTGTTGCGGCAGTTCCTCTCGATATGACCACGCTGCCCGCAGCGGTAGCACTTGTCCTTCCAATCACCAGCTCTGCAGTCTCGAGCCCAGTGACCATCGTTCCCACAGTTGTAACACCTTCCAGTTCCTGGAGGCGGGCCTCTCAAGGGCTCGCGCTCCCTCCTGATGCTTCCACCACCACTACCACCACTGCCGCTGCGAGGACCCTGTCAAACAGAGACATCCAAAAAGAACTGTGAGAAATTCCTGTAAAACTAGTAAAGGAATGGAAATACCCTTCTCGCAAACTCGACGATCATGCGGTGTCCCTCGAAGTCCCGTCCGTTGAGATAATGCCTCGCCTCATCAGCATCCCGGGGATCGCTGAATTCCTGTAGCGAAACTCGAAAGAGAGAAATGAATAGAAAAAGAAAACAAAGAGCGAGCAAAAGAGAGAAAAGAAAGAGTTTCTACGTACAACAAAGGCGAAGTCGTGCTTGACATCCACTTCTCGGACTCTGCGGAAAGGCGCGCAACAAAACAACCAATCGTCATGGCACCTCGGTCAGCTGAAGTTAAAAGCACCCCGGGCATTCCATCCAAAGAGACAATGAAAGAGAGAGAACTCCTAGAGATGGATGCGCCATGAACTTTTTTTCCCCTTCCGACGAGCATCAAAAGCCACTCTCTAACATCATCACGGGCCTCCACCAGACTTGGGACGAGAAAACCCACCAAAAACCTTCAACAAAACGAAATGAAAATGAATGAAAGTTAACACTAGAGCTAGAGACGAACGAAACGAAATGGTTTTCTCTTTCCATCTCACTTCCACTTCTCCAATCCAGGGATTGGCAATACACATCCCCCAATCCCGTGGAGCTGCGAACTGCGAATCTAGCAGCGAAGATGCCTCTACTCTCAATTCCCCCCCACGAAATCCAGCACAAATTTCTACCTCGCAGGAACGAAAGGAGAGAGATCTTACCTCCCGTATTTGCTGAAAATCGCCTCGAGGTCGCGGCTGCGCGTCCGCGTGGAGAGGCGACCGACGTAGAGGCGCGTCTGGCCATCGTCGTAGCGCGGCATCTCCCCGTCTTCCCTTCTAGGGCTAGGGCTCTTCCCTAAAGACCCATTACCGTTGGATGTCCAAATCCAGTCCAACGGTCTTGATCGCACGAGAAACTTGACCACCATTGACTAATGCGGTCAATCTACTTGGTCAACCTTTCCAATAGGGCTCGTTGTTCCAGGAAATGGCCGCATTGTCTTACCGGATGCTTGGAGGGCTTCAAGAGCTCGCTGGAACACCAACTTACAAGGTATGAAAGGAAAAGCAAAGGAAACGAGGAGGGACGAGTTTAGAGCTTACAGGCATGGCTGCTGGATCAATTTGGAGTGCTCCACGATGGAAGAAAGCCATACCCAGGCGCCATTGCTACTCGTAAAACATCTCTCCAAGTTCTTCTCGATCTCTTTCCATTCGCTCGCTAAATTCCCCGAGCTTGAATCTTTTCGTCCTGGTTTGCTTAATCCATTCTCGAAGCTCCAAAGCTCGATACTATACCATTCTTTGTTCTTCTTGTTCCTCCATGGCTGAGAGTGCAAAGTTTGCTTTCTCTTTCGCAGTGGAGTGCCTGGCTTCCACCGGCGCAAAGCTCCTCCTGCTCAGCAACTCGTCCCGGCGATCCGAGGTGACCAAGAACAAGATGAGCGAGTTGGGCTTTGATCCGGGCCTGTTTGCTGGAATCATCACCAGCGGAGAATTAACTCACGACCACCTCCTCATGTGAGCTTCTTTCCTGCCCCTGTTGCTGGATCATCTGTCACTGTTTTGCCGCTCTCTTGTTGCAGGAGACGAGACCCTTGGTTTGCTCGGCTCGGAAAGCGATGCTTACACATGACATGGAGCGCTCGGGGTGCTATATCACTCGAGGTCTGGTCTTCCCAAGTTTGATAGTCGTAAGCTCGCTGGTTGCAGGAGTTGGATCTGGAAGTCGTAGAGAAGCCCGAGCTTGCCGACTTCATTCTCGTGCATGGGACCGAGGCACTGGGAACGTCGCACGGGAGTCCTAAGCCAGCAACCTTAGAGCAGCTTCGCGAGTTCCTGGAGGTTGGAATGAAGTATAATCTCCCCATGATAGTTGCCAATCCGGACGTTGTCACAGTGGAAGCCAGGGAGCTCCGAGCGATGCCTGGTAAAAGTTCCTGCTGCTGGCTCTTCTCTCAGCTTGTAGTAACCCGTGCTCGTTGTCCAGGAATGCTGGGCCTCGAGTACGAGAAGCTCGGCGGCGACGTCAGATGGATGGGAAAGCCCGACCCGGTTATCTACCGTGCTGCTCAAACGATTGCCAACGTCGCGCCTTCGTGCTGCATTGCCGTTGGGGACTCGTTGGCGCACGATATAAAAGGAGCACAGGCCGCTGGAATACAGTCTGTGTTTGTAGCAGCTGGAATTCATGCTGGTGAGTTGCAAATTGAAAACATAGGTGACAAACCATCTCCAGACGCGCTGAAGTCTGTTTTGCACAATCACGGATCGGATCCGTCGTATGTTATTCCGATGTTTTCCTGGTAATAAAATAACACTGTTTTTCTTGCTGGAAGTTTCTGTTTCGACATTAAACAAGGAAAAAAACCAATATACAATGATGTTACCTGATCAGGTTTACAAGGCGGATGTGCACAGAGCATTTGCGTAGTAATGCTTTTGTTGTGGATATGCACTTGCTTCAGGTTGGCTCGACGTGTGGAGCAGACCACTCAAAAGAGATGGCGCGAACACGGGAGGGTACGTGACACTGCGGACGATTAGTTTACCATCCAGCAAGAGCATGCGCAGGAGCTCCTTTACAGTCTGAGCCAAAAAAGTTGGAAGTTCAAAATCGAGTAATAGGAGCCTTGAGTATAAGTACCTGTGGATTGAGGACGTTCATCCGCTTGACCAGATTGTCCTGGAAAAAGAAAAATGCATTAGAAACAGCCAAGTGCCAAAAGTCAATACAGACCTCAGTGATTCCGGGGTTCAGTGTTACAATGCCCATAACGCGACGGATTAGTCCCTTCAATATTTTCATGTTTAGACTTCCGTTAGACGTTATCCAAGGAAGGATTGGAAGCGTGCTGGTCAAATCGGCTACGTCAGCCGTGTTGCATGCCTTGTGTTCGTTGCTTCCTCCTTCAATGGGATCAATGTCCATGAATGTCGAAGTGGAAGCACCATCTCCCATGAAAACGTCGCTCTTTTCGATGCTTTTCCCTGGACTGGAAAGCAGAAGCGAGCCCCTGTCCGTCTTCTTTGTAGAAAACTGAAGAAAGTACCGGCCAGCAAAGGCCTGAGAAAGAACACGAACGTGGTCGAACGCGTTCACCTACATAAAAAAAGCCAGACAAAATATAAAAACATCGAAAACTCAGAATTTACCTTCTTCACAACGCCAGAGGACTCCAGAGAGTCCACATATTTCTCCACGAGATCCGTACCAAGGCGTTGGCCAAGGTCCTTGATGTTTACACCTTCCTCACCAGCATTTTCGATTTCGGTTTGCATTGCCGCAAGTAAACCAGGCTCGAGAATTTCGTCACCTTCCGTGCCAGAAACCTTCTCCAGATTTTCTGCGCCTGGAACTTCGAAAGAAGGTGTTTCTGATGGACCCGGTTCCAGCTCGCCTTGGCATCTAGAGAGCAAATCCGGAAGAGTAAAGGTCTCTCGGTGTAAAAGAACATCGATGCCAGGAAATCCTCGCTCACGACGAACTGCTTGGTAGACTTCGTCCTTGTCTTCGAGTCTCGCCTTTACAGTTCTTGCACCTTGTTCCTGGTTGTCTGGCTTGCGCTTGAAACCGCAACCGATTGATCTCGGGTCTTCGCTCTCGCCAATCCCATTAGCCGGTACGCTCGGTTTCAATGTAAGTTCTCCTGTGGTAACTCTCCCAAATAATTGTAGAAGCTTGCCACAAGTGTCTTCGGTTGAGTATGGAACCCATTCTTGATCAATGTCAGTTCTGCGCTCCTGAAGCCATTTAGACATTGCAAAGGATTCTTCGGCAGTTGAGCCAGGAAACCTCGTTGCAAACGCGTTCTGATAGAAAGTATCGGACAGAACGAAGGATTGAGCACCCTGACCGGACGCCTGTGTAACATTATGAAATTAGCGAAAGTCTCGAACAAACGAATCATAAACAATAAGGAGACTTACCACCATCCCGTGATCCTTCAGAAAGTTAAAAGCTGTAAACACGTCTGCCTCTTTGAACTGATGAAGTGCATCCATAAAAGCCTTCGGCAACTGCACGTCGTCACTGTTTACCGACGTGTTCAAGAATACCAGCTTGATAAACTCGATCGCGTTGGCAACTCCAACCGAACCGTGCACAAGTTGCTCAGTGGTCAGACACTGAAGCGATGCCGGCTTTTTCTTCACTTTCTTTCTGACCCGTCGTGAGCGAAGGGCGATAACACCACCAGTCTTGTTCGGTTTTATAGGAGGCCGTTTGCTTACTTGCATAAGCCCAGCAGCAGAAGACAGGTGTAGTGGATCGACTGTGATGCTTCCACTTGTTGAAGCTTCAACGGTCTCAGTTGCACTATTGTATAGCGATGTTGCAACGATACGCTTGTTGTGGCACGGCTTGTTGTAGCACGATCGTACTAAGTTCTTGCATCTGATGATTTCGTCGATCGCCGAGACCACGGACGCGTCTTCAGGATTATCCCAGTAATACTCCGGTTGCTCGTGCAGAACTCTGATAGGTGCAGGCGGAATAAGCTCTCCGTCTTCCACTACTTGTTCTTCACATGTACTACTGGTCCCTTGATCCTCGATACTCTCCATCAACTGGCAGTATTTCTCATACCGCGCTGAAAGTAGCGAGCATAGATTCAAAATGGCCTTCTTCACGGTTGCCTCGGACTTCAGAATGGAAATCCGCCTGCGACAGACTAATGGTGCTGCTGGAAGACCGGGAATCAAATTCCAGTCCACGCGGTTCATCTTTGCACCCAATAAAGCCCGCTGTTTCGCATAAGCAAAGAAAAGTACTCTGCAGAAAAAAACAGAGAATTAAAATAGCGAGAAAGACCACAAAGCTTACCTGTCCAGCTTGTCCGACCACGGAAATCTTCTTGATCTCGACGGCTTCAATTTGGTTACGATACTTATATGATTAACATGGTCCCCCATATCGTCTGCATCATCCACTTCTTTTTCCATCTGTGTTGCTTCGGAGATTCCGGACGTAAACATTTGTCCCATTTCATGTCTGGAATTGTCTTCAGTAACTAAGACCTGTGGAGGCGCTGGATGACTGCTGGCAAACGTGTCCATAAAACTAGGTTCAGTTTTCTGTAACGATTGGAGTCGGACACGACGATTTTTTTCATAAGAGACTCGTAGGACCTGCGTATGAAGTTTAGTTCGAAATTTGAAATTTTGAATATAATACCTGTTCAAGTGTAAGGTTCAGATCTTTAGCAATTTTTGCACATTCCTGTATCGACTTCCGCTTTTCTGGCCCACCTTCGTTCATTCTTCTCACAAGATCATTACGTTGATCGATTGTCATGATTCGAAGTGAGGTCCAAGACCGCAAGCCAAAAAGCTGACAGATAGAATATTAGAGCCAGCAAAATATTCAGATCAAACAACCTCAGGAACACTTGAACCAGGGAAGGCGTGCCTCGCAATACCAGGTTCTGCACCGGAAAAGAAGTACTCCAAAGTTTGCCAGTAATTATCGAGGCCTTCTTTCGTATTGATGTCAAACTCGTGGCGGCCTCGCGGATTGTAGTCATAAGTTTCCCTCGTAAGAGATGGAAGGGGCTGCGGTGCTGGCTGTTCGATGTACATATGTTCCTCCATGGCATATGTAAGAGAAGCCTCAATCATTGATATAGAGAGGCTGCCAAGATGCCAACGGTCTTGTAAAACGACCGGACCATGCCCGATAACAATCCGTATAAGCTGCAGAATGAACGAGATAAGATAGTATGCAGGAGAATAAAAAAACTTACTTTCAGACGACGAAGAATATCCACGAGCCATGCCAAACGTCCTCCAGCAGAATTCTCCAGCAAAATAACTTGTTCACCTTCGGGAAGGTCACGAAGCCGCATGCCTTGTCTGCAACGCTCTGTCAAGTTGTCGATCACTCTATTCGAGCCAACCATTTGGAGAAATAACTCCAGCGGCATAGACTGTACTGCAGCCATCAATCCGAAGACTCGGTACCCTCTCCCATCCGTCAAGCGTGGTGTACCAAACTCGAGGCCCATATCTTCGTCCAAAAAGTCATTGGTGTAGTTCCAAAGGAAATAATGCAGCATCCGAGCTCTGACCATTTTTGCCGGCACGAACCCGTTAGCTTGAAGGGCCACTGTCTTGGCTGCATCAATCTGTGATAATAAGGGCGCTTTCTTGTGTTTCACCTTCATCCTTCTCAAGCCAGTAAGAACAGGTACCGTGTTGACTGACGCCTTCTCGCGGGGTAACCCGTGACCACGGCTTTCCATGTCAAACTTTCGAATACGTTCGTGAATAACGCTGAGCAAGTCAGGCTCCACCTTCACTGACGGAAGAAGAACGACCTCCGCAGTTCTCTTGCGACCGCAGTTCGTCGACCCGGGCATGCTCAGCAGAATGCACTTGCATCGGCCTTCACGTTGGAGCTTCTGAAGAGTTCGAGTCAATGTCTTTCTGTCCATCATGGTCTTCCGGTTACTTATGCTTTCAAGCCATCGGTGAAGCTCAGCTCGCACTACATATTTTTCCTCCTAAAACAATATCGTCAGTCGGCCGATAGTATACTAAAAAAGAGCGTTCTTTACCTGTAACCTTTCCAGAATGCGTTGCTCTCGTTGTAAACTCGTAGTCGTTACAGTCAAGCAAGGATATGGTTGCCCGATTCGAAACAAAGATGGAGGCGGAAAGCTGCTGGCTGGCGTAGTAGGAACCGGCGTAATATCCATCCCTTCGGGAGTTTCGTTAATAGCTGGACTGAGAGCCTCCGTAGCTGGCAGGGTTGTAATGACTGTGTTTCCAGCATCCGTCTCGGTATCAATCTTGACCATGGACTCTGTCAATGAATCGCTTTCGACCTTCTTCGCGTTCTTGCGAATCAGAGGAAGCTTCTGAACTCTTTTGAGGCTGTCACTCGAAGGCACCGTAGCTTCTTCCATATTTTCAAGTGGATCTTGAGTATCTTCATCCTGTTCTGCAGGGACCTCTCTTGTGCGGTGAGTGGTTCTCAGTCGATACAATGTTGAGCGCTTGTGATTCTCCGCTTCGAAAAGAATGCCGTTCTTTATGGTCATGTTTTGAATCCGGTAATAGTTTCTCTTGTTATTAAGTCCAATCCTCTTCCAAACCTATGCAACAACAGAAGGTTACAATTATTGAAGTTTATGTATGTCCTACCTTACCTCCATCATCATCAGGCCCTCTCTCCCCCCTTCATCAATCATGTCATAAATCTGTTGATCAACAGAAAGTTCCACAAGCTGTTCCGTAACTTGACCTCTCTTTGGGCCTTTCAACTGTTGCTCGGTATCCGCTTCAACAGAGGTAGAAGCGCTAAACTCGTGTTCGTTGAAAGCCTTCAGCAGCTGAATGCAGGATCTTACCTGGACATAGCACAATGCGTTTACATGAACATGGAACATGTAGTGCAGATTTTTACCTTGCGGCCCACTTTTGCCTCTATAATGGTGACAAAACCTGCCTCTTTCAGCCTTTTCATCAGCTGTTTAAACATAATTAAGCATGCAATCTTTGTGAAGAGGAAAAACACCACTAACCCTCCGCCAAGCACGGTGTCCAGAAGACATTCGATAGCCCAGTGTAAGCTTCAGATCAGAGACAACAAGAACCTTCACAGAAAATTCCACAGTTAGCGAGCCAAAAGTCCAAAATCCTCTAGCGAACCTTGCCCTCCGCTTGTTGCAGCTTATCACAGATAGCTTTCATGGCAGGCAAGTCGTCGTTGATCATCAAATGCTTCCCCTTGGAGTGATTGTCATCAGCGTCGTCGGGATCCTCTGGAAACGCAGCGTCCTCGGCACCATTGGATATCTCAAACCGCTGGTGCGAATTCAAAGTTAAATGCCTGGCGTATCTCGTAAGATGGACCAAGTTTGTCAAAACTATCGAGCCTCCACCCTTCGCTGTGTCCTTATTCCTCACAAGCGTGGACCTCCTCACGACCAGGCCACGCGATTCGAGGCTCCGGAGGATATAAAAAAGCTTGTTTCCTTCCACCTTGAAATCCTTACCGAGCTGATTCTGTGTCACTCCCTCAGTCCTGGAAGAAAAATCCGAAAAGACTAAGCTATCAACTCAAGTTCTCTACAATCGCGAATTTCACGTACCGTGCCTTAGCAAGACGCTCGAGAATGGAGTGTTGAATCTGAGAAGGCTGTGTGTCGGCGTGCCTGATATCGTAGAGACCCAAGCACGCATCTCGGATGTCCTGAGAGGCAACCACGACCAATTCCAAGCTCTCGGCGCTCTGCAAAGACTGAATCGAGGGATCCGAGGCCGGCATTGCTGCTGCATTGGACTGGCCCGAGAATTTGAAGCTCAGCCCCGGCACCGCGAGCAATCCCCGCCACACCGCCTGCTTGACGTGATCGTCGACGTGAATTTCCAGCCCCGCGGGCGTGGCCTGGAGGAAGGCCCAGAGTTTGGCGAGAAGGCATCCTGCGCAAAGCGATCGATCGGCTGGAGAAGAAGAAAAATGCCGGCCATCACTAACCTTGTTCTCCCTCGGCCGCAATCTCCTGGAGCGCGGCCGCGACGAGCTTGTCCGCCATGCCCGCGCGCTCTCTCCTTTCAAAACCCTAGCGATGAAAGCGCAAGAGTGTAATATTCCATCTCCTACCCTAAACAGAGGCTGCTACGTGGCGGCATTTGAGTGGGCTTAAAGCGGGCATGTCATTAGAGACTGGGAGAAATTTAATTTAGCTATGGTGTTGTCAGTCCATGCTGCCATTTCCTCACACCAGCCCCTCTCGGCCTCGCCGGAGCAGCGACTTCCATCGCCTTCCAGTGGAGCTGCGCCATCGGCGCTGCCCCTAAGCAGGTAATCCATCTCTTTGATTCCTCCCAAGGCAATTCGCGCCTCTGGAAACCCCAATCTCCATCTCCATCGATTGATTTGGATGCGCAGAGCGCCGATTTGCAAGAAATCCTTGATCGCCTTATCTCACGCCGGCGGGAGCATCGCCAGGAATACTCGCTGCGGCGTCACTGTAGAGGTTCTATGATCGATATTTTGGAAGAAATATTCTCAATCGAGCAGTGCTTTTCCAGGCGATTGGCGATATCATGGCGGCTACTGGATTGATATCCGAGAGTGAGGCTTGGATCGATTTGAAGGTGAGTGTAGCGTCTTCTCTTTACCTTTTCTTCTCGCGAGCTGATTGATCGGACAATGTGTGTAGGATCATGTCGCGGAGATCAACAAGACGCATTTGAGGGAGCTTTTGACTGATACGTCTCGATGCGAGGGGATGATCAAGTAAGCCTTGACAAAAATATAGAAAATGATTGTATGACAAAATTTGTTTTTCGTGGCGCAGGGAGCATGACGGGATATTGATAGACTTTTCTAGGCAGCGAGCAACGCAAAAAACCATGGAAAAGCTTTTTTCGCTTTCCAAGGTTGGTTGCATTTTTCCTTTCTTTTTGGCTCTATCCCCATTCTTGTTTTGGACAGGAAGCAAAGCTGGAGGAGAAAATAAAGAAGATGTTTATCGGAGAACACGTAAAGAGCCTTTGCTCCTCCTAATCTTGAAAATCTTGATGATCACCATTCTTTTGTTATAGATCAATAGCACCGAGGATCGGGCGGTTCTTCATGTGGCGCTTAGAGCTCCAAGAACTGAACACATTTTCGAGAGTGGTCGGGATGTTGTTCCAGACGTCTGGGAAGTACTGGACAAAATCAAGGATTTTTCAGATAGAGTGCGAAGTGGCACTTGGGTAAGTGACCCCAAAACTTTTTCTTTTTGTCTTTTTTTTCTTTCTTTTGAGGTAGTTTGCTAATCTGCGTTTATCTATTAGGTGGGAGCTACAGGGAAGCCCCTAACAGATGTTGTAGCGATAGGAATCGGTGGAAGTTTTTTGGGCCCTCTTTTTGTTCATACAGCTTTGCAAACAGGTCTTTTGAACCAACTTCAAGCTTCCCTTTTTAACGCTGTGTCCGTGCAGAGCCTGAGACTGCCAAAGCTGCGCGTAATCGAAAACTTCGATTGTAAGTATGTTCTTGCGTTTAAGATTTTTAAGCGTTTCTTTTTTGTTTAAGCGCAGCCTTTCAAATGTAGATCCTATTGACGTTGCACGGGCTTTGAATGGTTTGAAGCAAGAAACAACCCTTGGTATGTGCGTTTTGTTGAAGTTTGTATAGTTAATTATTCTCTCACTTTGTAGTGGTGATCGTTTCCAAAACCTTCACAACCGCGGAAACTATGTTGAATGCAAGGACTGTGCGGTCCTGGATCACATCGGCGCTTGGGTATGTGTTTTAACACTGGCTGGATTGTGTGACTGGTTGATGTCTGATGTTACAGGTCAAATGCAGTCTCTAAGCACATGGTTGCTGTCAGTACAAACGTGAAGGTGCGATTAAAATTTTCCTTTTGCGAACTTTGTAGCGTGATCTTGTGACAGCTCGTGAAAGAGTTTGGCATCGACCCTGAAAATGCGTTTGCTTTTTGGGATTGGGTTGGAGGTCGCTATAGTGGTGAGTAAATCTGAGCAAGAAGCCTCCTGTGCTTTTAACTAATGTCTCGGTCGATTCAGTATGCAGTGCTGTTGGGGTGCTCCCATTGTCTCTACAATATGGATTTGAGAACATTACCAAGTATGCTATCATTGTCTAGTCAACAGGGTTTTACAAACTTGCACTATAGGTTCCTCGAGGGAGCTTGGAGCATTGACCAGCATTTTCGTACCGCACCTTTTGAGAATAACTTGCCTGTAAGTATATTGCTGATATCAGTGTAGAACTTATGAAGTGTCATTTTCAGGTTCTATTGGGTCTATTGAGCGTATGGAATGCGAGTTTTCTTGGATGTCCCGCACTGGTACGGTCCCACAGCATTCTATGTGAGCTAAATTGCTGCATGATCAACCATGTAGGCTATCCTGCCATATTGTCAAGCCTTGCAAAAATTGGCTCCACATATCCAGCAAGTACGTACTTCTTCTCCATGTTTATAAAGTAAACAATTGTGCCTTGCCTTTTTACAGGTGAGCATGGAAAGCAACGGCAAGGGAGTCACGATTGATGGAAAAGTACTCGATTATGAGGCAGGAGAGATTGACTTTGGAGAACCAGGGACCAATGGTCAGCATAGCTTCTACCAATTAATCCACCAGGTATGCTATAAAATTCAAGTAGTATGTTCTTGCCCTTTTGACTTGTTCTCGTGCGTCCCAGGGTAGAGTTGTTCCATGCGACTTCATTGGAATCATCAAAAGCCAGCAATCAGTGTTTTTGAGAAGTAAGAAGATTTTTATTACTCTCGTTACCGCAGGCTGACGATTCAAACATTCAGATGAGATTGTCAGTAACCACGACGAGCTTATGTGCAATTTTTTCGCCCAAGCAGATGCGTTGGCTTATGGCAAGGTCAGTAAGGAATCTCTCGTGTTTCTTTCACGGTCTAAATGTTTCTTCTTCAGACCCCCGAGGAACTTCGAGCGGAAGGTGTCCCGGATTATTTGATTCCTCACAAAGTAAGTTCCTGAAGGTTCTTTCCTTGCGGCTCTACAGTTACCTTGTTCTTGCAGACTTTCACCGGCAACCGTCCATCCCTGAGCATGCTGCTACCAACTCTAAAGCCATACACAGTTGGCCAGCTTCTAGCTTTGTATGAGCACCGGATCGCAGTGCAGGGATTTATCTGGGGAATCAACTCCTTCGATCAGTGGGGCGTGGAACTCGGCAAGGTACACTTGGCCTCCCATCATTCTCGACTGAAACCAATCGAAAATCCGACCTTTTCATTTTCAGGTGCTTGCATCCCGAGTTCGCACACAGATGAACGCTTCACGAACGAAAGGAAAGCCCGTACAAGGATTTAATCACAGTACCACAACGCTGCTCAACCGTTATTTAAAGGTGAGAGGACTTGGATTAAGCATGACACCATAACTTTTTGTTGGGTGGTTGTTCAGGGGAAAACCCAGCTACTGTACCCAGAACCACAGGATGTATTTCCTTCCAACATTCTCGTCGGCCCGGAGTCTCCCGTGGCTCTCGAGGACGAGGACTAAACAACATCACGTCAAACAAAACCAGATGAATGAAGCAGTGCACGATTTCTGCTGTTCTCTGAGAAAGAAGATTAAAGAACATCACGTAAGTTTCATCAAGGAACGGAGTGCTGGCTCATTGTTTTACAGAAAAAAAGCAATGGAGAAAGCTTTTCATTTCGTTTCTCCTGTAAAATAAGAAGATTTTTGTTGTTGTGATTTGCTCTCACCGCTCAAAATGAGCCACTCCATGTAAGAAATGAAAGTACCTCTAGAGCGAGCTTCAATATCCACATGGTAGTCCTTCGCTCAGACCCTGAACTGTGGACAACCGAGTTAGAAGAATAGTAGGAAATGCAACTTACCTCAAGAGCGCGAGTTGCCTTCTGGTGGAGCTATGGAGACGATGCCTTGGACTCTTCATGCTGCTATGCCATGGAGCACCGCGCTGAATTCCACACTAGCAGGAGTCCAAGTGAAGGGAGCTCTCGACGGAGAGGCTTGTTTTTCTGCTGCAACCTCTGGAACTTAACAGATACCTTGTGGCGAGACTGCTTTGCCTAGTTTCTATAGCGTCTCCGACTGGCGCGGCTTTGCTCTCTACAACTCCATCACAAGTAGCACCTCAACCCGACCAAGAGAACGCTCTGGGACCATTCCCGTCCCTTTATCTATCCACACGGGCATAACCTCTTTGTGTAACGATGAGCACCCTGGCATGAAAGCAATGTGTTCTTGGAATTGAATACGCATGCTCCTGGATGCTGTAAAGAAAATTTTTGAAAACGAAGAAAAAAAAAAACGAGCAAACAAAAAAGATGTTTTTGGAAAGATCTTACGAGGTGTCTTGGAGCCGAGCTCACAACTTCCGATGGCAGGTCTGGTCCCGATCCGGAGATGCAAGCGCCCTTGCAATTCATGCTCTTCTGGAGCCTGTTTCAAGAATTAAGAATTTAGAGCGACAAGAGTTTGAGCTTCGAGAAGGTTTATGGAGGACTTACACAGAGCACTCGTTGATCAAAGGAAGGATAGAGGCCTTGCATTTCTTGCCTCTCTGACGACATGCTTCATCGCAAGACTGACCACGTCTGTGTATTTAGTATTTACACAAAGTTGATATAACAATCGGCAAAAAAAAACAAAGAGGATTTTTTACCTGCCAGTTATCAGTGAATAATCTGTGTTCTCGCCTGCTTCAACTCCGTGATCTACAAAAACATCAAGGTTCTCAAAACATTTCTTTGCAAAGTAAATAATTTTTTACCGCGTCCAGATGATAAGTTCGTTTGAGTAAAAAAGCAGTGATGATACTCACTAGTGTACGCATTCTCATGCACCTGTAGCACTTCGAGATCAGTACTGGAAGAGATCGAGGAAAGTTTTAGAAATGAAATACCACACTTCCAGAATTGTGGCGACATCTTCCAGTACAGTACTCAAAAACTGATACAAAATTTGCTATAGAGAGGAAAACGTTAGATCCTCTTGACACAAATTAGTCTTACCAGCAGTAAGTTGCCTCGCGGATTTGGAGCTCAGCGCAAACTCCTTGGACGTCTGCAAGCACAATAGATAATAAGAAAGAAAGGCGAAAAACCTCCGCTTGGTCTTACATGAATGGGATCCAAGCAGCAAGAAACGCAGTACTCGAAAGTGTTACAGCACTGAGAAACTAAGTTACAGCCTCTGTCGTAGCAAATTCAAGGATCCAGATATTGAGAAATCAAAAGGAAACACCACTTACGAGCAAGAGAATTGTTGCCCCTCTTCTGGACAGCATCCTCTCCCAAAATCAATGTTTCTAACGCTACAAACATATCCTACATCCCAACCAGAAAGAAGTTAAAGAGAAAAACGAGAGAAAATGCCATACCTTGGCTGTCAGCGAGAAGATGAGGACCTTGGACCGTGTTATTGCAGCTAAACGATGAATCGCCTCTGGAGAAAACACTTCAAGCGCAAAGAGAGGTGCATAGAAGAGCTTACAAAGGTTCTCCGTGGCTGAGCGACACCAAAAATGCAACCATCAGGAAGCGCCACTGCCAATCCATCGCGAGAAATAATTAGGGCTCTTCACTAGGGCATTATGGAGTAAAGTAAAGGTCTTTACTTCAATTTTGAAATTTTAAAAGATCTTAGAAATATTATTCTGGATGCGATTGAATCTTGTGGTAGATCGATAAGACCCTATAATCGAGAATAAAATGCAAGTGTTTTGCTTGGAATTCTCATTACGAAAATCATGGCTTCTTTCTTCAAGCTTGCTACCACTCTCTTGGTGTGCTTTATGTTTGTGGCTAATGTCATGGCTCAGGCACCACCACCGCCACCAAAATGTAATAATCAGGTGGATTTCTGCCCAAAGCTCAATGGGATATGCACTGCATACTGCCAGTCTTGCCATCCTGAGCTTGTGGCTCCAAATGCCTACAGGTGCATGAAATGTCAGGCGGGAGTTTGCAATCCATGGCCACTCTCTTGCAATTGCTCTGGCTGTGTGCCTTGCTAGATGGAGTTTGATAGCTAGCTCCCTCTATCAATAAAAATGTTTTCAAATAAAAATAACAATTATCTATAATCTTTGGAAGGCTAGGGTGCCTCCTGAAGATTTTGGGCTTTGCAGAAGCTTTGAGGTTGCAAATTGGTGTTTCTAGTTTTAAAGATATTTTAATTCTTGGTTGCGAATGAAAAAAATCACGGATTTTAGCGTGTGGAATCAATTGTTTTCATATAGATTATGATACGAGTGGTGCAATAAGACTGAGAGATTCAACTTTTTATGCAAAAATCCCTCCAATAGATCTCGAGCGTTTATGCATTAAATCACTATTAGAGCAAAATTAATTTAATTGGTAGAATACATGCTTAGGGCACAGTTTGGAAAATTTATTAGTAGTGTCTGATAAATTAAAATGCGTGTTTCATTAAACAAACCTCATAAACCCTTGGGAAAGAAGAACCCTAAGTCTCAGAGCATGGCGCTAGGCGCGCGTTGCGCCATTGGAGCTACGCCAATCGGCCAAAATCGTCCCGGTAAGCCTCATCCATCGTCAAGCTAGCTCACGCAAACGCTCTGCTAGAGGTTACTTTGCTGGATTATGGGGCCGGGAATGTTAGAAGCGTCCGGAATGCGATCCAGCTTATGGGATTTCACATCAAAGACGTAAGGACTTTTCCTTCACGGCCAGCATTTCCTTATTTTCTCTGCGAATTTAGGTGACTGGGCCCAAGGACATCGAGAAAGCTACGCGTTTGATCTTTCCAGGAGTCGGATCCTTCTGGGCTGCAGTGGATTCTCTCAAAAACAGAGGGTACGTTTCGTGTTTTTCCTGAAATCTAGAGACTTATCTCTTTAAAATCTTGCAGTCTAATCGAAGCTCTACGCGAGTATGTCCAGGAAGATCGTCCTTTCCTTGGCATCTGCCTGGGCTTACAGCTCTTGTTTGAGTATGGAGAAGAAACTGGCTACGGTGAGTCTTTCAAAATTCATGCTTTCAGTCTTAAACACGATGCATGACAGTGGAGGGGCTTGGTGTCATACCCGGTGGCATCAAACGCTTCGATGAATCCTCGGGCCTCAAAGTTCCACACATCGGGTGGAATGCTCTTCACTTAAAGCAAGATGCATCGATACTGGATGGCGTCAAAGGTCGCCATGTCTACTTTGTGCACTCGTACCGAGCAGTCGAGGTATTCTTTGCACTCTTTTTTATTCTTTTAGCCATGTTTTCTTCTTGTCTTTCTGCAACTTCAATTTTTCTTTTTACAGACTCCCGAGAACAAAGACTGGGTTCTCGCTACGAGCACGTATGGAACAGACTTTATTGCTGCAGTAAGAAAAGGAAATGTGCATGGCACTCAGTTCCATCCCGAGAAGAGTGGAGGTTAGCTACATTCTTTCGAGCACGGGTTTCGTGTAACGCCGAGCGCCCTCGTCTCTAAGGCGATGAGTGGGCATTTTGACTTTCAGATTTGCGAATGTCTCTTTTGCAGTAACCGGGCTTAACATTATTCGAAGATTTCTTGGAGGAGGGCAGTCTGAAGCAGCAGAGGTGACTTATAACAAGTTTTCTTACTTTTAAGCAGCTCTTACATCAGAGTTTGTTTTAGAGAGTCGCGAAACAAGCAGAAGAAGCAGAGCCAGGAAAGACAGCGGTGCAATTGGCCAAACGGGTATGGTAGACAAGCCATTAGGATATCATTCTAATCATTCTTCACTTAACAGGTGATTGCTTGCCTTGACGTTCGAACGAATGATAGAGGTGATCTTGTGGTCACGAAGGGTGATCAATACGATGTGAGAGAACACACTGAAACACGAGAGGTAGTGTTCGTGTTTGAAAGTTTGTTTTGTTGAAAACGGGATATCAACGCTGGGTTTAGGTGCGCAATTTGGGAAAACCCGTAGATTTGGCCAGCTCTTATTATATGGATGGGGCCGATGAAGTAAGCTGCCTGCGATGAATTATACGTTTTCATTCATCTTTCAGGTAACATTTTTGAACATAACCGGCTTCAGAAATTCTCCTCTGGGGGACTTACCAATGTTGGAGGTAAAATACGAAACAGCAAACTGACAACAAACTTTTATGTCATTGGACCAGGTTTTACGAAAAGCGTCTGAGAAGGTTTTTGTTCCTCTAACAGTTGGGGGAGGAATCAAGGATTTTACCGACAAGGATGGAAGGTAAAATTTCAGTGCTTCTAAAACTTCACAGAATCATTGGATTGTGGTTTTTCAGATATTATTCCAGTCTAGAGGTTGCAGCGGAATACTTTAGATCCGGCGCGGATAAAATATCCATCGGGAGCGATGCCGTTTACGCCGCTGAGGAGTACATAAAATCTGGGGTGATTTTCTTGCATAAATCCACTCATTTATCTGCTAACACCATTTCATTCCCAGCAAAAGACCGGAAACACAAGCCTGGAGCAAATTTCATATGTTTACGGCAACCAGGTATTAAAATTTCTCAGCGTGACGGTCGGACGAATCTTTCATACTGTTGCAGGCAGTGGTGGTCAGCATAGATCCACGCAAGGTTTTTGTTAAAAGTCCGAGCGAAGTACCTTACAAGACTGTCAAAGTGGCTCGTCCAGGGCCTAACGGCGAGCAATTCGCTTGGTACCAGTGCACGGTACGCCTTTTTTATTAGTCTTCCATCTCTTCGTATCTTTCGTACTTACAAAGCTGGTTTTCACAGGTTAATGGTGGCAGGGAAGGCAGGCCGATCGGAGCTTTCGAGCTAGCAAAAGCGGTGGAGGAACTCGGCGCCGGAGAGATCCTTCTTAATTGCATCGACTGCGACGGTAAGTACCGAGAGAATTCTTATTCTTTGAACGGATGTTCATACGCAACTTAAGCTTAAACAGGCCGAGGTGAAGGATTCGACTTGGAGCTCGTGAAGTTAATCTCCGAGGCCGTGAAAATCCCGGTGATTGCAAGCAGCGGTGCCGGGACTGTGGATCACTTCTCAGATGTTTTCTCCGAGACGCCAGCGTCGGCGGCTTTGGCCGCAGGGATCTTTCACAGAAAGGAAGTAAGTCTTTACTTTGTAAAGCTTTGTCTCCAACGAGGTGTTTGTTCCAGGTTCCAATAGCTTTGGTGAAAGAGCATATGTCACGGGCAGGAATCGAAACGCGGTTTTAAAGTGTGTCGCCGCATTTTTTGCTAGCTAGCCACTATCTTAAAAGTAGGCTTTGCTTTGTTTACCTACAAGCCCTCGTTTTGAGGACACGCCCATTTACACTAGACCATTGCGAGTATTTTGCCTTCTACCTAGAGCCAGCGCCATTCATCACACGGGCTTGGCAAGGGCTAGGGTTCTATCCATCACCATCGCCGGCGTCTTGGAGCCCGGATTCGTCCTTCTAGAGCTCGCTCCAGGTGAATCCATCCCCGCATTGCAGCTGCGCCGGCCATGGTGTGCCCGCTAGCGATGGCAGAGTAGCGGATCTGGGAAATTTCGTGTTCTTCCGCGGGAATTCGCTCTTCCGGCGCTTGCGGAGAGGAATTCCGGGGAAATGCAGCTATAGGAGGAGGCTGCAATGAGGAAGGCGATGAGCAGGGCGCGAAAGAAGGGATCCGCGCCCTTGGAACTGAGCAGGTATGTGGCAATGCAGGTAGATATCGATTTTTTCTCATGAACTCTTCTTGATCCAGGGATATGTATGGATTCATCTTGAGGCCACAGCATTTGCAAAGGTATCGGGAGTTCACATCGATTTACAAGGTGCTTTGTAGTTTTAACGCGTTTTTCTAGTTTACTCTTTCAAAGTACTTATCCTAGCGAGTTGTGTAGGAAGAAGAAGCCGAAAGATCTGAGCGTTGGGAGCATTTCCTGAGAACTTACGGTGATGCTGCGGATTTTTCAGCCACCAAAGGAGCTGAAAAGGACGCTTCATCAGACGGTGAAGTTAATGCGAAGCCTGACGGTGAAAATAGAGTTGTCCAGAGGTGGGGTGAATTAAGGCCGTCTCTCAACATTGTGGAACAAGGAATTGCGACTAATGCCGGCAGGCAGCAGCATGCAACCAAACCACTAGAAAATGGGGACGTTTTGAAGACCCGGAAAACAGATAGCGGAGCATCTGATATTGATGACTCGGACGATGAGTTTTACGACGTGGACAAGTCGGATGCTGTTGCTGATTCTTTAGTTTCCAGTGACCAGTCAGACAGCGAATCGGCCATTCATGGAAAAGAAAGTCCATGGAGAGAAGAGCTGCAGTTCCTTGTTCGAGGCGGCGTTCCTATGGCTCTGCGAGGGGAGGTAACTCTGTTTCTTGTTTTCGTACGTTCTCAGTTTCGTTTTGCTTTCGGGCAGCTTTGGCAAGTGTTTGTTCGCACCAAGACAAGGAGAGTTGAAGGACACTATGAGCGTTTGTTGGAAAAGCCATCAAGCAATGGAAATGGGAATGCTAATGGTTATACACACCATGACGAACCTCCCTCTGTTCCAGCACAAGAAAAATATGTGAACCAAATTGAAAAGGTACTATACCATGATAGTATAATGTAAATTCAGTTCGATGTTTTCTGGTGTAGGACTTACCGCGAACTTTTCCTGGTCATCCAGCTCTAGATGAAGATGGTCGGAACGCATTGCGCAGGCTTTTGACTGCATACGCACGACATAATCCTGATGTTGGATACTGTCAGGTTGGTTGAAGATTAGTAGCCTTAAGTGTTAAAAGATCGTCTTGAATACTTGCAGGCCATGAATTTTTTTGCTGGGTTGCTTCTTTTGCTGATGCCGGAGGAAAATGCGTTCTGGTATGTTCAGCTCTTTCAATTTCGATTTAGAAGTCGAGTTGTTATGCATGTGTACCAGGACATTGACCGGTATCATAGACGAGTACTTCCAAGGCTACTACTCCGAAAAGCTTTTAGAAGCACAGGTTTTTATGACAGAAATCGTGGTGCACCGTATAACAGAATTTTGCAGGTGGACCAACTTGTCTTTGAAGAGCTTGCTCGAGAACAGTTTCCGAGGCTAAGTACTTGTTTGAGCTTTATTCTCTTCGGGTATTGAGCCAAGTGGCACTTTTACAGTTTCGCATTTTGAATCCCTTGGTGTTCAAATATCGTGGATGAGTGGACCCTGGTTCCTATCTATATTTGTGAACGTCCTACCTTGGGAAAGTGGTCAGTACAATTTAAATGCATTTCCTCTTTCCGCTGATGAAAATTAACTTGTGCAGTTTTGAGAGTATGGGATGTCTTGCTTTTTGAAGGCAACCGAACTATGCTTTTTCGCACTGCTCTTGCTCTTTTGGAGCTGCATGGTTAGAAGTTGCTTTCTGTAATGAATATCAACGTTATTAATCTCTTAACCTGTCTCAGCTCCTGCTCTTCTGGCCTCACGTGACGCTGGCGATTGTATCTCGGTGATGCAAACAGTGACCGGTGCAACATTTGATAGCAGTCAGCTTGTCTTGACCGCTTGCATGGGTTTTCAAAAAATCGAACGGCTGGAGGCGCTTCGGACCAAATACCGGCCAATCGTTTTAGCAACTCTTGATGAACGAGCAGCCGAGCTTCGTTTATGGAGGAGTTCCCAAGGCGCTCTTGTCAAAAAGCTCTCAAGGAAATTTAGCTCACTGAACACGTCTACCAAGGAAATCACCACGGCGGAAATCATTGCTGAGTCAGGTGATATTGAAGAAATAGACGAGGAAGACGAAGAAATTGACGAGAAGGATCCTGCTGACTTGGAAGAGCAGGTACGCTGGATTTCTTTTAATACCTATTTTCTTACTAACTGTTTATGGTGTTTAGGTGGCCTGGCTGAAAAATGAGCTGTGTCTCGCGCTCGAGGAAAAGAAAAGAGCAACGGCCAGGTGAGTGCCTGCCTAGACTTTTCCAAGAGTGTACAAAGTGGTTTTACAGGGCAGAGGAATTAGACGTGGCTTTGATGGAAATCGTCAAAGACGATAACAGGCGAGAATTGTCTGCAAAGGTTCGAGAGATCCAAGTTTTCTTTTTTTCTCTCTCTCACTTCAGCTCGTGTATAGGTGGAAAGCCTAGAAGCTGAACTTTCTACTGTTAAACAGATGCTATCTGACAAGCAGGAGCAAGAAAAGGCCATGGTGCAGGTCAGTCATCTTAGAAACTGGAAGAGAAATTGAAATTCCGTAATGTCTTTGCAGGTTATGCTGAGAATTGAACAAGAGCAGAAACTTACTGAAGACGCGCGGTGTTTTGCCGAGCAAGATGCTGCGGCACAACGGCATGCTGCCACAGTAATGCAGGTAACACCAGATTGCTAGCAAGTCGTCCAGTTTTACTGAATCTTTAAATTCACAGGAAAAATATGAGCAGCTGATGGACAAGTTTGCGGCTCTGGAAAAGAGAGCAGTGATGGCCGAGACAATGCTGGAAGCAACTCTACAGTACGAGGCCGGACAGACCGGAAACCTCCGACGCCAGAAGGAGGAGGAGCCCTCTAAATGGTCCTGGCCTCTTTCCTCACCAAGGTAAACACCAACATTTAGTACGTGAATTTAGTTGTCTTCCTTACAGGAGCACCGAGGCTGCTACATCAAAGCCAAAGCCCAGCAGCCCTGTAGAGTCTGGGAAATCGACAGACTCTCAGGAGGAGCCAGCGCGCAAGCCGGGCCTTTTCTCGCGGATCAGCTGGAGCAAGGTATATCTTTCTTGTTTTTTCGTTTTTTTTTTTCTCTCCCGGCTCGAAAGAGAGATTGAATTGTTCGTTCCCTGGCAGCTACCAAAGAACCAGGCATCTCCCGAGCCAAGTGGTGATCGAGCGCGCGAGGAGAAACCAGCGGAAGAGGAAGCGACGTTGTCCAAGCCTTGCGAAGAGGAGGACACGGCAACTAGTGCTGGTGCCGAGGACAAGGCAGGGGAGGTGAGTGACAATGTCAAGGCTTAGAAACCTTCCAACATTCTCTGTTTCGAAGCTTCTTTGTACAGAATTGATTGAGCAATAGATAGTTATTACAGTTTTGGCATGCTTACGCTTGATGCAGTAGGATCGAGTTCCGCAATAGCGCTCGCCGCGAGATAGAAGGATGTTAAGCGCTAAGATCTTAACACCAAAATAATAGCCAGGAAAAGATCATACCAGCACGTCCATCGGCTTTGATTTTCCAGAGTAGATCTAAATCTTCTCTCATGAAAAACTGTTTGGTTTGATAGGATGCCCATCCGCGACGTCGTGGTGTGAAATATGCTTGTCTCGGCATTTGCCCAAACAGGGCATCCAGAGTATGCCCAAAACGCGTTTTGAGCGAATGTCCGGGAATAGCGTGGTTTCTTGGACGATAATCTTGTCATGGTTTGTGAAATCCGGTCGATTCGATGGAGAGAAGCGCGTCTTTGATATCATGCCGCAGCGCAACGATGTCGCCTGGAATCTGGGCGTGCGCCCAGGCCGGGCATTTGCGGGAAGCGGAGGAAATCCACGATGAGATCATCTCGTCTCTTGGAACGAGATGATCCGCCCATGGCCAGGGCGATCGGCTATTTGATGCGATGCATCAGCGTGTCCTGGAACGCGATCCTGGGACCTGGATCGAGGCCAGATTCGAGAGAATGCCGGCAAAGGACGTGATCTCCTGGACGATCTCCACTGCAGGGGCCACGAGCATCGCCAAGCGCGCGAGATCTTCTTACGTCTCTGTGTCGCACAGACAAAGTTTCCTTTTCTTCTCCTTTTTTTCTTGTCTTGATTTTTCTTCTTCTCGATCAGGACAACATATTCCCTCGCATTTTCGGTCCAGGGCGAGTCTACTATTTTAAAGCTCTCGAGATTTCCTTTAACTTTCACGATTGGAATTTTCTCCAGATTTGCTCTTGAGAGCAAATCTCTATACATATATTCCTTCGATAATATTCTTTGTCTCACGATCTTCTAAATCGATACTTTACATAGTAACCCTGCCCTATTATATTGGCGGCGATGGAAGCTCTGGCATTGGCGTTCTCCTGGTTGCGACGCGCTCCAGCACAGGCAAGCACACAGGCAACAGGATTGAAGGTCCTCCTCCTTGAGGTGTGCACAGCTCGCTCGTTTCTGTCATTTTTTCTTGTTCCTTGACATTTTTCGCGTGCGGGCAGACTCCTGCCGCAACAGCGGACAAGAAAGCGGAGGATTTCCCAGCACTGTCCTCGCAGCTCGAGGCAGTGATCGCCAGCAGTGAACCAGCATCAACTGTTCCCGAGTATGATGCACCTGTACTCGAGGAGGATGACGAGCATGACTTGCAAGAGGTAACTCCAGATGTAGCTAATCTTCTCTTGCAGCCGGTTGCTCCAATCGAGCTGGAGGATTCGTCCTCGCCAGCACCACCCTCGCACCTCGAGGCAGTTATAGCCGGAGCAGCATCAAGTGTTCCCGAGTATGATCCACCACCGTTACCTGTGCTCGAGGATGACAACCATGATTTGCAAGAGGTAACTCGAGAGCTTAGATGCTTTGCCTGGAACCGCACCAACCTTCTCTTGCAGCTAGAGGCGGTCATGGTTGGCGCTGTGGATTCAGTTCGGTATACTTCTCTCGGTGGCAAGACGCTTGCAATCGACGACGACGACGACAACCTGAGCTGGGAGGATATCCAGAGCTACTTTCGGACCTGGACATTCCCGTCGGTGCAGCTACCGTCCAGAGCCGAAATGCATCTGGAGGTGGAGGAACTCAAGAAGCTAGTTGGAGAGTGGACTTGGAAGCTACCGACCACTCTTCAGTCGATAAAAGAAGAAATGTGGAGTAGGCTTTTGAACGCGGGCTTGGAGGAGGACGAGGTGACGTCCCAGGAATTATGGGAAGAACTCAAAAACTTCCTGGGGTGGCATCGATTCCCAGTTATCAGTTCCCGACGGATGCTTCTGGAAGCAGCGCCAGGTCCTCCTATCTTCGTCTCCAACGAGAATGGACCTTCTCTGTTCCGCTTCATAGCTCCACTGCGCACACAACAAGATGGAGAAGAACAAGCTTCAGTCTTTTGGCAGAGGCTGAGAGGCGATGGCACCAGCAGCGTGAGAAAGCACAGGAGGCCTCCAGACAAGAATAGTGAAGGGCAAGAACTTGTGGCAGCAATGGCCGAGGAGTCATCCTACAAGGTATGTCTCTGTTGACAGGAATCAGATATGTAGTCGTACTAAGATCTACACTGAACAGGTGCTAAAGTCTCATGCAGCAGCAGGATCTCGAAAGTTGTTGAGGCAAGCTGATGTTTCATCGCCACCAGCTTCAGTCTTTTGGCGGAGCTTGCGAGGTGATGGTGTGGGAATGCACAGGAGGCTTCCATACAAGAATATAGAAGAACTTGCAGCAGCAATGGCCGACGAGTCATCCTACAAGGTATGCCTCTGCTGACAGGAACCAGATATATTCGTACTAAGATGGACATTGAACAGGTGCTAAAGTCCCATGCAGCCAAAGGATTTCCATCTCAGAAGTTACTGGCTGGCGGCACTGGTGACACTAAGGAGGCTAGCAGCAATGCTTCACCACCACCAGCATCGCCACCACCTTTTATGTGGCGGTGGTTCCCTCGAAGCTTGGGCGAGGATGGCGGGAAGGCCAAGAGGATCAACACCGAAACGTTTCAAGAAGCTGAAGGGACTTCAATATCGAGCTCTCAGAGTTTAGTGTATGACATCGGGGTGAGCAGCGGCAGCGGCAGTGCCAGTGATTTCATCGAGTTATTTGAAGGAGAAGGCATTAGCAGCAGTGATGCCTTCCTGAACTCGCTGTTGGAAGTCGAAGGTGGCGGCAGCAGCGGCAATGTGGATCTTCAACAGGCTTCCTCCAGTGATCTCAACTTGCAAGCGACGGCTGTGGCGGCAACCCCGCTGCTTCTTCCAATCCTTGCCGGGCTGCTGGTTGCGTTGCTCTTCCTCTTCTTCCTCTACTTCCTCTCGGTGATCAGGAGGAGGTGGAGGAAGAGAGGGCTCCTGCCTCATTGAGTTCCAGCTTTCGATGCAAATGCATCAGGATGTGCAGTGGACGGGATCAGGCATGGATCAAAGCTTGAAGCCGGTGGCTTAACACTACGTGATGATCTCCGTCCGGAGTGATAGAACTTCGGTGGCAGATTTTTATCGGCTGGAGAGACAGTGGCTCTAACGTCATCAAGGCAAGAAGTGAGTGGAGATATCTTACAAAACAGAGGTTGCTGGTGGTTCCAGAGGTTTGTTTGGTCATACACAACTTTCTACACCGATTGATGGTGTAATTGCAAGCTAGGAAGGATGATCATATACTGAGTGTTTGTAGCTTTTAAACTTTGCTGATTCAGAAAAACAGTTTTAGAGGCTTGGTAAGACTAGAAGTAACACTATCACCTCCTGTTCACGAGATGAGTTACTACCCTGTGTGAGAAGCAAATCGATGGAAGGAAGCAATAGTTACAATTCTAGTAGCTTTGTGTCACCGCTAATGCCAAAGGCTGAGAAAGGATGTGTGTGAAGCCCTGGTTATGGCCTGGAATCTACAAATGAAAGGAATAACAGTAAGCGAAAGAAACTGTTTTGTCAGCTTTGCTTGACGCTAGATAGAGCTGCGGCCATGAACATCGCCTCCATCAAGCCCCCACATAAAGTTTTTGCCACTGTGTTGCAGCCAAGAGCGTTCCAAAAGCTGTGTGATCAACATAAGTTCTAGAAAAACTACGCAATGGATCCAGAGAGCATGAACTTCAACTCAGCCGATCCAATCCACAGTGTTCGTCAAGCAAAACCTCCACAGAGATAAACGATCCGATTCCCTCAATTTCAAACGTTGTTCCATGCACAGCTCTCAAGTCCCATTGGCTAGTTCCGAAACCTAAGAAAATGTGACCGTTGAAATCAGACGGCCAAGTATTTTAAATTTTGACCATTGGAATTGGACGACCAGAAATGGAACCCTACCATCAACGGCCACCATTTACAAATAAAAAATGCTACCAAAGGCTAAAGCTACATTGTCTTTGCCTCTCTTCCTGTATGGCATGTGGCCCCCGTGTCGTACAGAGCCAGTCAGTGGTGCTAGCCAAGGTGTTGCCATGAGCTTGAGTGGCTTGTCCAAAATCACACTGTTATATGCCAGGCTCATGTGCTTCGCCCACTCAAATGCATACACCAGAGTGGACACACCATACATCATGCATGTCCCCAAAGAAGCCTCTCCAAAGGACACCATCTAGTACTCTGGATCAAATAGCAACGAGGACGCCATCACCTTGATTCTCATGGTGGATTCTTAGAACCTCTCTAGCCAAAATTTGAGCAGGTTATCCCACAACACGGGGTTTCTTCCTAAAGAGTATGTGTTGATAAGCATGAAGGTGTTCTTAGGGGTGAAGTAGCCAGCAGCTCCATGTCCTAGACCATGACGTGAAGTATGAGGAAGGTGCCAACAGGCTAGAGGTAGAGGACCTCCTTACCACCACACAGGGGGATATGTGAGGTGCTTGATGTCTGACTCACATATAACAATGCTAAGCACTTATTCCACCAGATATAAAAGGCCTCACTAAGGTGGAGGGGGGATGCTAGATTTTCCATACACTCCACCTTCTCATTACCTCTCTTTCCTTATCAATTGATATTTAGTTAGATTCACATAGTATCAGAGCCTTCCATTCCAGGGAAGATAGCAATGGTAGGCTCTCATGTGGGAATGGAGATGGGCCACATGTGCTGGTTGATTTTAATTTTCCATCCATCCTAATGGAATTCCAGTGGTGGGGAATCCTCTCTCAATTCCTTGTCCCACTTAGAGTATTGGATCTCATATTTTGCTACAGAAATATTTTGCCACTTATTCAGCCTTTGGCACCACCAACACTAGCTAACTCTGTGCTGTCATTCTTGACACAAAAAGGTAAATTCAATGTTCTAGAGTATGGAGAATGATATTATCAAGTTGTAAGACTGGCTACATCAAATTGAACAGTGGTTTAACTATAAGTATATTCAGAAAATATGGAACGGTGCTAAATTGACAATTATATTTATAATAATTTTTACATTTTATAAATATATCATGGGAGCTCTTAACACTAGCAAATAAAAACTAACAATATGAGTTTTGTTAAATAACAACTTAAATTTTCATTCTTTAGTGCCTTTTGGGTATAAATGCACATGTGTTAAACAGTTTATCAAGTAGTTTGTGCAGAGAATGATAAAAAGTCTAACAATACTATGGCAATAAAAGAAGAATATCTTAAAAGACTAATTAATAAATAATTTTCAATAATTGCAATCACATTTGCGAACTATTACAATACTTTTGTGAATTACAATCTTGAGGAGCCATGCAAAGCAATGCAATCAATAGTGGGGCTGGATGGCAAGCTCATGAATTACAGTGTAAATCATCTAAGGTGATGGAGAGTTGAGGCAAGTTTTGGTTAGGAACCAGTGCTCCATCTCCAGCTTAGCGTTTGCTAGGCCTCACACCACAGAGATCAGCGCTTTGCTAAGCTTGGAACTTCGGACCAAGGCTCCACAGGCACTCCGATAGGCCAGATTTGAGCTGCCGGATCATCCAGTTGCCAGCGAAGAGCTGAAAGTCCACCGCCTTTCATCACTTCTCCCCGTAGCAATCTGCACTTTGCTCATTCTTCATTGTTGCCAAGGCTCAGCAGAGTTCAAATATTGCTTGCTAGACCGGATTTGAGCGGCGGGAACTCATTCGGTCACTGGTGGAGCCCGGCTTTCGTCACTTCTCCGCGCGTAGCGATCAGTGCTGTGCTAAGCTTGGAACTCCGGAGGCGTTTTTCAAGGCTTGGCGAGTCCAGATATCCATCGCGCGATAGACCGGATTCGAACTACCAGATCATCCAGCTGCCGGCGGAGGCCACCTTTCATCACCTCTCCGTGCAGCGGTAAAGCTTGGAACTCCGGAGGCACTTCTCATTGTTTCCAAGGCCCGGCGGATTCAGATCTCGATTGCTAGGCTGCATTCGAGCTGCCCGATATCATCCAGTCGCCGGCAGAGTGTCTGCCATCCATCACTGGTTTTGAGGCTTGGCCGGGAGTTGACGCGCTTTGAAATGCCTGACCAACTCCATGAGGATATTGCCGCGACTTTGAGATCCTCACGAATGACCTTGGTGTGGCACTGGAAGTGTCGTGGTTCAACGACACTCACAAGGAACCAGATGTCTGTTCTTCCCTCGCAGCCGAAGCACTTTCCCCCCGTGGAATTGCTGAAACCGCGAATTCCGAAAGCCTCGATAGCTTGCCTGACCGATGTGAATTCGCGCTCGAGAACGAGCCTGCAATGCGATTCTCTATGGACATTAAAGTCTGGGATCACTGTAAAAGACTAAACTGGCGTAGAGATAAGAAGACACGTCTAGACTATCTAGTTGTGAGGAGCTCACACTTGATGGCGTAGAGATCAAACGTGAAGTAGTCGCCACAGTGATTCCGAATGGCGTCCGCATCGTCGCCAGCACCCTGGAGCACTCTGGTGGTGTCAACTCTGATCTGGTCTATCGCACGCAATCGCGCCATGCCCGACCCCGCACACCGAAATTTCCGGCTCTTCCAGCCACCCCACAGTCACGGGATTCAGCGCCTCCTCCCCAAACGGACGAGATGGAGATCCTTGCCCAGGCCGCTGTCGAAGATCTCGGTGATGATGTACGTAAAATCTTGAACACATGAACAAAGAACGGTTTTATACCTTGAAAGGAAGAAATAAAGATTTCAGTCCTGGATACACAAGCACGCTTGTTGCGGTACGCATGGAGGCAGCAGCTCCTAGCATTCTCTAGGGTAAGAAACATAGATATGGGGATAAATACGAACCAAATGTTTACCAAGAGTCATTTTGCGATGGCAACAGACGATGTCCCTGTGTCTTTAAGAAAGAGTACATGCAAAGACTGAACAACAAACAGAGCTAGTAGATAAAAAAGAAAAACAGCATGCTATGTTACTGTGATCATTGTTTCTTGAATCGGCCCCAAGGTGGTCGAGGGTGGCGGAGATACGGAGGTCATTCTCAACCACTGTGGACGCTTGATCTCTACTGGATCAAGATTGAATTTCTCCGGTACCACGAGGTCTACAGATTGCCTCCAAGAGCTTCTCCATTGTCGTTTCAGTTAGTTCGTCGATTAGTACTCACGAAATTTCTGTTACCTTGCTCCTGCGATTGATCTCCCGAGGAAGGCGATGGCGGATGGCTGCCAATGCTCGGGATTCTTGTGGTAGTGCTTAATCTTGACCTGTGTGTGTTTATCACGGCATTTGCCCGAAGAAGGCATCCAGAGTATGCCAAGAACGCGTAGAATAGCGTGGTTTCTTGGACGATGATCTTGGTAGGGTTTCTCCACGGTCTTGGAGGAAATCCGGGCGATTTGATGGAGCGAAGCGCGTCTTTGATCTCATGCCGCAGCGCAACGAGGTCGCCTGGAATCTGGCCGTGACAGCGTGCGCCCAGGCCGGGTATCTGTGGGACGCGGAGGAAATTCACGATGAGATCCTGGAACGCGATCCTGGGACCTGGACGATGGGCAACGATCATCGCCAAGCGCGAGAGATCTTCCATTGACTGACCGAAGTTTGTCTTACCTCTCTGTGTCGCACAGACAGACGTCACTATATGGAAGACTGTAAGCTAGTTTCCTTTTCTTCTCCTTTTTTTCTTTGCTTCTTCTCGATCTGGACAACATATATCCTCGCATTTTCGGTCACGAAGCGGCTGGGTGAGTCTACTATTGTAAAGCTCTCGAGATTTCCTTCAAATTTTGACAGTCGGAAGTTTGTTCTGGAATCGTTGAGAGCATAGGCAAACATGTGAAGGGTGTTCAACAAGGAGATGACGCACTCACTCCCTTAGAGCAAAGACTGTGACTGCTGCAAATCCTGAAAGACCAACGTCTGGGATTGATCCGGAGAGAGGGGTGATGGTGAGCAACGGCAAGAGCAGATTTTCTCACACGATGGCGAGACCATCTACCATTTCCTGGGAACTTCGACGTCTAGCCAGTACACTGTTGTGGGTCAAGCTTGCATTTGTGGACGCTCCTCTTGAGAAGATTTGTCTCCTCGGTTGTGGTGTCACTACAGGTAACTTCTTGCTTGTCTTCCAGGGAGTGATTGGTTTTTGTCTTTCTCTTCCAGGTGTTGGTGCTCCCACAAAAGCCGCGAGAGTAGAATTTTGGTCTCGGAACTATTGGATTTGCTGTAAGTGTTTTCAAGGCTTTTTTTATTCTTTTTTGTTTTGGTTTGTGGAGTTTCATATTGTCTGTGTAGGCTGCACAAGGTGCTAACATTGCTGCGAAAAATTGCCATCGATAAATCCTTCAACGCTGGAAGAAGGTATGCATCAACGTTTTTTTTTTCACCTTGCTATCTAGGAAAGGCGAAGTTTGGCTTGACGGATGCGATCAATCCAAAAGACCGTGGCAAGCCAGTGCAAGAGGTAAACTGCGTCCAACCTCTATGTCCTCGCTACATAACACTTACGATTTCTCAAAACTTCGGGTGATTCGAACAGGGGAGGCCTACTACACGATCGAGTGCGTTATCTCATTCCTGATGCTGTGGAGAGCTTATGAGGTGAATCTACAGATATCTTCTTAGAACTGACGTTGATTTCTACTGCTGTAGGGAATTTGCCCTCTTCGGAAACTTGAGATACCGATCCATCACCTTCTTCAAGTTCTGGACCAGCGCTTTCCACTGCTTGCTTGAGACTCAAGCTCAAGACTTTGGTGCTCTCGTCGAAACCCGCGGCAACAGTGACTCCCCAGCCCTGTGATGGTCGGACATGCATGCTCTCCCATGTTCGTTGCTCTATGGAGACATCCATTCCACTGGAGGCCCACGCTGCAAACTGGTGAGATGTTTTTCTGCTTTAGTGTTCGAACGCAAATCTTTTGTTTTAGGCGCCTCAAAGGTGGTGGTGGTGGCGGCGTGAATCTTGCAATCTACAAAGCTGCTGGTGACGAAGCAACAAGAAGGCACAAGAAGGTGTGCGATGCTGGAGCCGTTTCCTCTACGGCTGCCTCACGTCTATCCGTCCTTGGGCCCAACATGAACCCATGGATGCCAAACTGGCTGTAGGCTGATGCTCTGTTCTCGATTTCGCACCATTTTTCCGCTTCAAAGCTTGCATCATCACCAAACGAGGAGATGCAGCTACCTTGGCTTTAGGATTCTCCGAGGTGATAAGCACGGTGGAAGACTCGGGTTCTTCGAAGAAGGGAAGTTACAGGGGAAGAATGGAGCTGGGACTTAAAGGCAGGGGATGCGAAGCCAGTGTAGCGTTCCATCCTGACAAGCACAGCAATGGCGACTCACGTCTGCGCTGCGTTGTGTTCTGCCTCTCTACGCAAAGGTTTGCCTCGAAAGCTCTTTCTAATATCCAACTGAAATGTCGATTGATGTGCAGGCAAAGAAGCACGTCCTAGTGTCTGAAAAGGCTGGATCGGATGGACTTCAAGCAGGAGGTGGAAAACAGGCTTCTAAGGCAGCTCGTGCTTCAAGCAGCTAAAGCATTCATCTCGAAGTTAAGGACCCTTAAAATTTTTTAACTGTTTTAAGGATCTTAGCATATTCGTTGGGGATTCTTGTTCTTCCTCTCTTCGCGTTGGAGGTATGGGTGGAAATGTATGGAAGGTAATGCGTGGTTAGGAACCAGCGCTCCATCTCCAGCTTCTCTAGCGTCTGGTAGGCCTCTCACCACAGAGATCAGCGGTTTGCTAGGCTTGGAGCTTCGGACCAAGGCTCCGCGGGCACTCCGATATCAGTCGCTAGGCCAGATTCGAGCTCCCGGATCATCCAGTCGCCGGCGGAGAGCTGAAAGTCGCCGCCTTTCATCACTTCTCCCCGCAGCGATGAGCGCTTTGCTCGTTCTTCATCGTTGCCGAGGCTCGGCGAGTTCAACTATCGCATGCTAGACGAGACCGGATTCGAGCGGCGGGATCTCATCCGGTCACTGGCGGAGCCCGGCTTTCATCACTTGTCCGCCGGCAGCGATCAGCGCTGTGCTAAGCTTGGAACTCCGGAGGCGTTTTTCAAGGCTTGGCGAGTCCAGATATCCATGGCGCGATAGGCCGGATTCGAGCTACCGGATCACCGCGGAGCCTGCCCGCCTTTCATCGCTTCTCCGTGCAGCGGTCTCGAAGCTTGGAACTCCGGAGGCGTCTCTCATTGTTTCCAAGGCCCGGCGGGTTGCTAGGATCTCGATTGCATCCAGTCCGGATCCAGTCGCCGGCAGAGCGCTAAAAGTCCCGCCATCCATCACTGGTTTTTTCAGATCGCCAACTCCGAAAGCCTCGAGAGCCTGCTTGACCGATGTGAATCCGCGCTCGAGAACGAGCCAGCAATGCGATTCTCCATGGGCATTAAAGTCTGGGATCACTTCCCGGATAGAATGGTCTGCGTCTTCTACCGAAAAGATGCTCTTGGCCTGGCCGAACCGTTTCACGGCTACTCCTTCGGCCCATATGCCACATATCTTGTGGGGGAGACCATGGCGACCTTGGCGTTTCATGGCTTCAAGCCCAGAAACCCCAACAGGTGGTCCGGGATTGAGGTCAGGGATCCCGTGTGCTCCCAACCCGGGATGGCGATATATTCGGTTCCTATCTTGTCGCAGTGGATCTTCGGCAATGCTGTACCCCCTGCGGTGTATCGGTTCGATCTTTACCGGATTCAGAGAGCAGTCCACCGCTATGGATAGTGAATTCGGACCAAGGCCTACGTCTTTTCTTTTCGCTTTTCACGACTTCAGCTCGAAGCGACTCGGCAGAGCCAAGCTTGTTTGCAATCCAATTCATTCGCAACGCCTTTTATTCTGAATCGAGAGAGTCTGTCCTTTGTTCATGTCTTGGCGGCAAGAGAGGAGTATGAAAGATACATAGATAATAGCTTACAAGCAAAACACGGGTATGAGTAAAAGACTAAGCTGGTGTAGAGATGAAAAGACACGTCTAGACTATCTAGTTGTGAGGAGCTCATACTTGATGGCGTAGAGATCAAACGTGAAGTAGTCGCCACAGTGATTCCGAATGGCGTCGGCATCGTCGCCAGCACCCTCGAGCACTCTGGTGGTGTCAACTTTGATCTGGTAGCTTGGGATGCCCTCGCTGTCGCACGCAATCCCGCCATGCCCGACCCCGCACACCGAAATTCCCTGCTCTTCCAGCCACCCCACAGTCACGGGATTCAGCGCCTCCTCCCCAAACGAGACGGCACTCCTGGCAGTGACGCTGCTGCCATCAACTTCGTCTCGCTCGAAAACCACAGCAACCATCTGCCTCATCTGCGACTTGAGGTAGCACTTGAGCGCCACGAAGGTCTGGACCTTGGAGCCGGGGCTATGGAAGTAGGCGTCCTTGTAGGAGAGGAGCTCGGGCAGCGTCTGGCACTGTCCGACGTCGAGGATGAAGCGCGGGCATGGGCGAGTGGTCAAGTCCTTGCCATCGTGGGGCTCGAGCCGGTAGAGGTCCTCGTGGTGGGCTTGGACGGTCACGTACTTGATGCTTCCAGTGGGAGGATAGGCGAATCGCTTGCGCTGCACCGTCCACACCCACGGCGCCGGTCGCTCCATGCGCCTGCTCACGTACGCCGCGACGAAGGATTGGTGCTTGCGCTCCACCGCGATCACCCTGCCGATGGGGCGCACGATACACGACGCCCCTAGCTTCCATCGCTCGCGGTAGACCAGGAGCTTGTCCATGCTCCAGCCCGTGCCTACCAGACACTCCTTGCGCTTGTTCCATGCCTCCCAGTCGAGGTCGTCGTCGTGCTCCGCCTTGCGCTCCGCTGCCTCAAGCGCCCGATAGAGCACAGCCTCGAACGATTGGCGCGGCATCCTAAAACCCTAGAGCCCCAAAAGGGGTTTTACATATCTTCTTGCATCACGACACTTGACTAACGGTTTGACTGTTGACGAACGCCTCAGCTCCAAGCTTTTGGTGGCTGCTGTGCTGCAGTGCCCCATCTCGATCGGACGAAAGTTGCTCTCCACGGCCGTGAGGACCTCGCGCTGGATTTCTTCCGGGAGATGGTAGCAGAGGAGTGACGAGCAAAAGATCAAGCCGTCCACGAGACCAGGCTCTGGTCGCCAGCCATGTCCTGGAAGAACTTCAAGTCGCGTCGCCGAGGCTCCCGGCCGCCTTGCGGTACATGATCCGAGCTTGGATCTGAGCTTTTCCATGGTCCAGCCGAGCTAGCCCAGGCTCGAGTAAGCGCTGACGAGATTGAGGAGCACCACCATGTCGAGCTTCGTCCAGTGGTATCTCTTCGAGAGGATGGAACCTCCAAACGTTTTCTACTGGACGCATCATGGTCGTGGACAATGGCCTCGTCCCCTGGCCTCTTCCGCATTTGCATACATTTGGACGAGATGGAGATCCTTGCCCAGGCTGCTGTCGATGATTTCCTTTTTTTCTTTGCTTCTTCTCGATCTGGACAACATATATCCTCGCATTTTCAGTCACGAAGCGGCTGGGTGAGTCTACTAGCTATTGTAAAGCTCTCGAGATTTCCTTTAACGTTTGACAGTCGGAAGTTTGTTCTGGAATCGCTGAGAGCATAGGCAAATATGTGAAGGGTGTTCAACAAGGAGATGACGCACTCACTCCCTTAGAGCAAAGACTGTGACTGCTGCAAATCCTGAAAGACCAACGTCTGGGATTGATCCGGAGAGAGGGGTGATGGTGAGCAACGGCAAGAGCAGATTTTCTCACACGATGGCGAGACCATCTACCATTTCCTGGGAACTTCCACGTCTAGCCATACACTGTTGTGGGTCAAGCTTGCATTTGTGTTGTAAATAAGGACGCTCCTCTTGAGAAGATTTGTCTCCTCGGTTGTGGTGTCACTACAGGTAACTTCTTGCTTGTCTTCCAGGGAGTGATTGGTTTTTGTCTTTCTCTTCCAGGTGTTGGTGCTCCCACAAAAGCCGCGAGAGTAGAATTTTGGTCTCGGAACTATTGGATTTGCTGTAAGTGTTTTCAAGGCTTTTTTTATTCTTTTTTGTTTTGGTTTGTGGAGTTTCATATTGTCTGTGTAGGCTGCACAAGGTGCTAACATTGCTGCGAAAAATTGCCATCGATAAATCCTTCAACGCTGGAAGAAGGTATGCATCAACGTTTTTCTTCACCTTGCTATCTAGGAAAGGACGGATGCGATCAATCCAAAAGACCGTGGCAAGCGAGTGCAAGAGGTAAACTGCGTCCGACCTCTATGTCCTCGCTACATAACACTTACGATATCTTCAAAACTTCGGGTGATTCGAACAGGGGAGGCCTTCTACACGATCGAGTGCGTTATCTCATTCCCGATGCTGTGGAGAGCTCATGAGGTGAATTTACAGAGATCCTTGCCCAGGCCGCTGTTGATGATCTAGGTGTGGATTCTCCAGCCTTCGGTGATGATGTACGTAAAATCTTGAACACATGAACAAAGAATTATTGTTTCATATCGCTGTACCGTGAAACAAAGACTCTCATACACAAGCGAGCTTGTTGCGGTACACATGGAAGCAGCAGCTCCTCAGACGTAGGATTCTCTAAGGTAAGAAACATAGATATGTGGATAAATACGAACCAAATGTGTACCATGAATCATTTTGCGATGGCAACAGAATCTAGAAGCTGACGATGTCCGTGTCGAGGCCTGTGTCCTTAAGAAAGAGTGCAAGTCCTGAGCTGCGAAGACTGAACAACAAACAGAGTTAGTATATAAAAAACAAATGTAAATTGCATGCTATGGTACCTTGATCAGGATGCAGTGATTACGATAATCCTCTTGACCGAGTTAGTGAAGGAAGAAAAGTTTCATGTCCATTTACCTGTCCATTCTTGGGGCCATCGCGACTAACAACTGGAAATCTCTATAGCTAATAGAGGGATCCTTAGCCAGGCCTTTGATGGGAAACTGTTACAAAACTCGTAAACCCTAGCCTCGGGTTTAAGGATGCCGCGATCATTTGAAGCCGTGTTTGCGCGCGCGCTCGAGGCAGTCAAAGCGGAGCACGATGACGACCTCGACTGGCAGGCATGGAACGAGCGTGAAGAGTGCGTCGTGGGTAAGGGCTGGAGCATAGCCAAGCTCTATCGCTACCTCGAGATATGGAAGCTAGGGGTGTCGTGTGTCATGCGTCCCGGCGGCAAGGTCATCACCGTGGAGCGTCAACATGAATCGTTCGTCGCCGGCTACGTCAAGGATAGGATGAAGCCCGTGAGGGAGTCCATGGGGCGCAAGACGTGGGCGACACTCTACGTTCCATTTGCCCAAGGGAAGCATCAAGCTCCTCACCATGAAAGCGTACCATGCCGCTCTCAACCAGCTCGAGCCCTCCAATAGGAAGTGCTTCGTCAATCGCCCATGCCCGCGATTCATCCTCGACGTTGGACAGTGCCAGACGCTGCCCGAGCTCCTCTCCTACAAGGACGCCTACTTCCATAGCCCCGACTCCAAGGTCCAGATCTTCCTGGCCCTCAAGTGCTACTTGAAGACGCGGATGAGGCAGATGGTGGCGGTGATGTTCGAGCGAGGCCACTGTGCGAGTATCACTGCGAGAGCCATCTCGTTTGGGGAGGAGGCGCTTCATCCCGTGACTGTGGCGTGGCTGGAGGAGCAGGGGATTCCATTGACTGGAGTGGGGCATGGCGGAGTGGAATGCGATCGACCGGGCATTCCGTGCTACGAGATGAGGGTGGCAGTGACGATGTCGACGCCGTTCAAAAGGAGTGTGGCGACCATGTTATACTTGATCTCTACTGCATCAAGACAGAGTTCCAGGATAGCGCTGGCTATAGAGCTTCTTTAGAAAGTTCGTGTAGAGATTAAGTATTTAGATTGTCCAAAATATGCTTAGCAAATAAAAAATTATAAATGATAAATATGAAATTATATGTAGAAATCTAATATATGGACAAATACCTTTAAGGTGATCGACGATTGTGTTGTTAGTTCTTTTTAGTTTCCAAACTAAATTGTCGAACCAAACTAGATGCCGCGATCTTTTGAAGCGGTGTTTGCGCTCGCGCTCGAGGCAGTGGGGCGCAAGGCGGAGTGGAACAACCGCGAGGAGTGCACCGTGGGTAAGCGCTGGACCGTCGGCAAGCTCAACCGCTACCTCGAGATGGAAGCTAGGGGTGTCGTGCATGCGTCCCGCGGGCAAGGTCATCTCTGTGGAGCGGAATCGTTCGTCGCCGGCTACGTGAGGGATAGATTTATGTCCAGGAGGGATGGGATGGAGCCTCTGCGGCGCAGGACGTGGGGACTACTCTACATTCCATTTGCCCATCTCGCCAAGCTCCTCGCCATGGAAGCCTTCCATGCCGATCTCTACCAGCTCGAGCCCGATGAGGGGAAGTACCTGACGAATCGCCCATGCTCGCGCTTCATCCTCGACATCGGCCAGTGCCGACGCTACCCGAGCTCCTCTCCTACACGGACCCCTACTTCCAGAGCCCCGGCTCCAAGGTCCCGATCTTCCTGGTGATCAAGTTGTACGTGAAGACGCAGCTGAGGCAGATGGTGGTGATGTTTTACGAGCGAGATGGCGATTCTAGAGCCTCGTTTGGGGAGGAAGCGCTCCATCCCGTGACTGTGGCGTGGGAAGAACAATAGTGTTAATTGTGTGAGGCAAGGGTTTTAAACGTATAATTAATCATAGATAGGCCAAGTGTTACTTAATTAAATGAGGCAACGTGTCAATGTGCATGGTCTGTTAAATGGGCAGTGGTGGTGTCGTGGTGGGTCTATCAAAAAAGTTCTTCGTTCTGTTCATTCGAAATACAAGCACGCCATGGAAAGCGAAGGAAAGATGATCGCTTGCTATGGTAACGGTCTTCCATTTCCTTTTTGATCCTTGACACTCTTCTTTCCTTTCCATTTGCAAAGCTGCTGTGGCTCATGGAGCTGGGAAGCCGATGGTCATCGAGAAGATCCAGGTTGCGCCACCGGGATCGACCGAAGTTCGTCTTAAAATCGTCCACACCTCTCTGTGCCGCACAGACATCACCCTCTGGAAGAATGTAAGCTAAGTTTCCTTTTCTCCTCCCTTTTTTCTTGTCTTGATCTTGCCTCTTCTCAATCAGGGCAACATATTCCCTCGCATTTTCGGTCACGAAGCAGCTGGGTGAGTCTACTCTGTCGAAACTCTCGAGATTTCCTTGAACTTGGAGGGTTTTTTTTTTTGGTCTAGAATTGTTGAGAGCATAGGCAAAGATGTGAAGGGTGTTCAACCAGGAGATCACGCACTCACACTGTTCACGGGAGAGTGCAAAGAGTGTGACTACTGCAAATCCGGGAAGACCAACGTTTGCCAAAAGTATGGAATCGATCCGGAGAGAGGGGTGATGGTGAGCGACGGTAAGAGCAGATTTCTTACAGAGGATGGCAAGACTATATACCACTTTTTGGGAACTTCAACCTTTAGCCAGTACACTGTTGTGGATCAAGCTTGCATTTGTGTTGTAAATAAGGACGCTCCTCTCGAGAAGATTTGTCTACTCAGCTGTGGTGTCACTACAGGTAACTCTTGGAAGTTTTAGCTTATGTTTCTAGGCAGTAAAATTTTTTAATTTTTTTCTTTCAGGTGTTGGTGCTGCGACAAAAGCTGCGAAAGTAGAGAAAGGATCCACAGTAGCAATTTTTGGTCTCGGAACTATTGGATTTGCTGTGAGTGAATGGTCATTTTTGAGGCTTTGGTTTTCAAACGAGTCATGTTTTGTTTGTGTAGGCTGCACAAGGTGCTAAGATCGCTGGTGCCTCGCGCATTATTGGCATAGATATAAATCCTTCAAAGCTGGAAGAAGGTATTGCAGCGGAAATATCAGATTGTTTTTTCACCATGCTATATAGGAAAGGCGAAGTTTGGCTTGACGGATGCGATCAATCCAAAAGACCATGACAAACCAGTGCAAGAGGTAATTTGCGTTAAGCTATATGTCTTTCTCGCTACAAAAAGCTCATCAAAACTTTTAAGGTGATTCGAGAAATGACCAATGGAGGAGCTGATTACACCATCGAGTGCGTTGGGAATGTAAATCTCATTCGTGATGCTGTGGAGAGCGCTCATGAGGTGAATTTGCAGAGATGTTAGTAGATCCTACGTAGCTTTCTATGGTTTTGTCTATAACAGGGCTGGGGAGTCACTGTTGCGGCGGGTTTAGACGAAAGCACCAAAGTCCTGACCGTGAGTCCCAAAAATTTCCTCTTTGGACGCTGGCTCACGGGAACGTGGTTTGGGGGCTACAAAGGAAGGTCGGAGCTCAATCAACTAGTGGAAAAGTACATGAACAAGGTAACATTTGATCGTTTATGTGGTTTACATGGTTTGGGCTAAGTATTCATGATTGATCTAGGAGCTAAACCTCGATGATTTTATCACACACAAGCTTCCATTGGCCAAAGTTAACGACGCTGTGACTCTTATGGAGGAGGGGAAGTGTTTGAGATGCGTGCTCGACGCAAATGCCGTGTAAAAAATCTTTGTATAGACATTGACATTGCGATTTTAATAATTCGTGGTTTAATAGCACGTTTAACATTCGGTGTTGTGTCATACGTGGCAAAACCCAAAACCCTTTGCCCTTAATTGGGATATCTAGTCTCTCTGCGCTAGGCCGCCCCACCGCAGCGCCCACGCCCAAGGTACGCTCGACGCCATTCGCTTTTGCTAGCTCCAATTTGCTCCTTCTTTCCAAGCCAGGATCTCGCAGTTGCCATGGCGTCGCGGCTCCGATCCATCGCTAGGGCTCTTGGAATGTAGCGTCGGGGAAGACTCGTCTATCTTGGAAGAGGGTTTGGCGGCGAATCCCGCAGCAATGTGGCAGCAGCAGCAGCAACAGCAATCCGAGTGGAGGAATGCGAATCATCCATTCTGGCAGCAGTACCAGCGGCAGCAGCAGTACCAGCAGCAGCAGCAGCAGCAGTGGAGGAATCAAAACCAGACGATTTTCCTCGCGAGTTTCCACAGGCGCCACTAAACATATTGGCGATATATTGGCGATGGAACGCGCAGGACTTCTCAAGGGCCTGGAACTGGAGCAAGGCGGCCTTTTCGTGGAACCAAAGAGACAATAGGAATTGGTAAGGTGGGAGGTTTGTGAGGCAGGATGATATTCAGACGCCATAGTTGCAGCTAGACGTGCAAACGTTCCCACGTGTTAACGTTTAAACGCTGTTTAAAACGTTTCTTTTCAGGACAATCCAACGTTTACATGTTAAAGCCTAAAATGATTAAGAAAACACTAATATTTACTAAAGTTTGATAATAAAACCTAACCAAATAACATACTAAAACAAATGAAAGAAGAAGCTGTTTTAGTTGTCTTCCAATTCTGAATCATCTTCCATTCCTTCATCGATGCTAAACTCCTTAGCAGCCTGATTTAGTTCCTCAAAAGCTTCTTGTAGATCCAAAATCCTCTTCCAATGAGGCTCCAACTCCTGTTTATATCAATCTCTAGCATCCTCATCTGTGCATCTAGCTGCAAGTCCAGATCACCTCCGCTATAAACATGCATGTACTCCAGCCAGTTCCCGCGTGCCTCATTGTCCAGCTTGTCGTTCTCCGGGTAGAAACAGAGGATGAAGAGCAAAAGCAGCTCCATGATTTAGTTGTGCATTTGATACCACCCTGCCTCCTTCAGACCGTGTGATTCAAGTAGGAAATCCTTAATTTGTCCCACTTCCTCATGTGCATAAATTTTGTTTCGAGCTCCCTCATCCATCTTCTCAATCAGCTGATCAACAGCTTCAAAGATGAGGCTTGAAGTCGCCCCCTCCCAATCAGCGAGCTGAAGAACTCAAAGTAAAGGTCTGAGCAAAATTAACAAATTCTCGCACCGCTCCCAGAACGAGTCATCGAGAACATGAGATCGCAGCTCCAGGCCCTCCGGCTTCTTAGACCAGTCAAGTTGCTCCCATTCTTGGCTCACCACCATTCTTCGAAGCCCAGAGAGATTCGTGATCTCCAGAAGCTGAGACATCATGAGAAAAATATAAGCAAACCTCGTGGTCACAAGCTTTATCAGATCCCGTTTGCAGAAAGTTCTATAAAGAGCTAGAACCTGTGGCTTTGAGGTGATGAAGGTAACTGTCTTTGCACAGCCATCGACGAAAGACTGCACCTAAGATAGAGCTCCAATATCTTTGAACAGCAAGTCCATAACGTGGCAAACGCAACGAACGTGTACAATCTGTGGAAACTCCTGCTGCAAAAGCCCCCCCATGACCACGCAGTTGCTTGCATTGTCTGTCACCACCTGCACAACGTTTTCCGTGCCAACCTTGGCAATCACTTGTTTCAGCTGCTCAAACAACCATGCTCCGGTTTTCTTTGCGTTCTTGCTGTCCACAACCTTTAGGAAAATTGAGCCTCTCATAGAACTGACCATGAAGTTGATAAGAGACCGCTTCTTGATATCAGACCAGCCATCCGTGACAATGGTACAACCATATGTCCTCCAACTTAGCCGCACATCTTCAAGCCGCTTCTGAATGTTGTTGTAAATTCGTTGTAACTCAGTTGTTCACAACTTCTATATCCCATGAGGTTGTCAATCGCTAGACACCCCACTTTTGCAGCAACTTTCAGCATTCTCTTCAAGTTGTCTCTTCAGATTGTGTTGAAGGAGATGTTCTCGGCAAAGAAGAACTCTGCAACAGCATCATCCAATGCCTCAGCCGAAGCAGTATCAAAAAATGTCACCAAATTTCCATCCGAGGATCTATGTTTCACTGCTCTGCTTGTCCCAGCACTGGACCAGTTCTCCATGCTTGCCACCATAGATTCTGCTGGCCCCCTTGAACCCTGTGCGGTTTGCTGCTCGGAATCGGAAAAACTGCTGCGAGCCTTTTTAAGAACTTCATAAGGGATCTCCCTCATTGCCTTGCACGTTTTCACACCTCTTGCCCGAACTCCAGCGAGATGTGCTCGCACTCGGTCTGCTCCCCCAGTGTGAATCTCATGACAATACTTAAATGTCCAGTGCCACTCTGCTCGTATCACATGCTTCCAGCTCCAGCATTCGCAGCGTCCTCCAATTCCTCTGAAGAAACCCTAAAGAAACCTTTGTCTCTTTTTGCAAATAGTGCAAACGCGTTGGGAGTTTAGAACAGCGTATTTGAACGCATTTAAAACGTTACGTTTTTTAAGTTTCACACGTTTTCCGGCATCTATGCTTGACGCTGGCTCCATTCTAAAGCTCAACCAAGCACCTTTCAAGGTAATTCTTTCGTTGTTCTTTCTCTCCCTTTCTTTTCTCATTTTTTTGGATCTTTTTCCTTCCAGAAAGGTTCATGTTTCTCTTGTACAACATTCTAGCTGCCGACAATGCTCGGGAGCATTATCTTGAGCTCTACTATCACATCCCAATGCGCTATGTGAAATGGGACTGGAGAAAAGTGCGCTTGGTGCAAGAAATCGAGTACTGGTCACCAGACATTCTTTGTTTACAGGTACTGTTAAAAGAACTTTGTTTTGTTTTTTTGCTTGTAGCATGTTTATACTGATGATATTTTCAGGAGGTCGATTGCTTTGCAGATTTGCAAGGCGAGCTAGTGAAGAGAGGATATGCCAGGATGTTCAAGGTATGTTCCCTCTTCTTTTGTACTGAAACCATCAGTGTCGAATTGGCACTGCCACTGGATGGGTGTGCAATCTTTTGGAGAGAGAAAAGGTTTGCAATTTTGCATTTTTTTTTGTTGTATTCCAAGTGTGTGAGTGTTGAGTTATATTTTGTTAAAGATGGATTTATGAAAGATCATTTAGTAATCATTTGTAGAGCATAACTTTATTGTGATTGGATTTTAAATTGATGCAGACATATTCTTCATTAAGAAACTTTTTATAAAGTTAGTATAGTTTATCATTAAATCACTTTTTAATGAAAAGTTAAAATTTAATTTCTAATAAACAATCTTGTCTAGAATATAACTACTTCAAATTTGACACTCAATTCATTAGAATGTTAATATATAATTGCTAACTAATAAATGCACAAATATTAATAATACAAAGTTATAGGTGTGAGTGCATAGAATATGGAAAGGGAATACAAAAAATGTATATATCAATTAGCCCAAAAACCCTAGTTTATATATAAGAGTGAGTGGTTCATATTGAAATTAATCCGACAACTACCAAAATCCCACTATGCTAAAATTAGTATATGGCATTGTAGTTATACACTTGGACCTCACATCATCCCCTTCTCTTAGAATAATGGAAGACTATTAGAGTTCTCTTGTAGATAGGCCAAGATCTAAAGGAATGTTAGGAGGAGGCATTGGTGGATTTAGGTGGTACCAATTGTTTCTGATCCTTTTGTATGAAGTGTTTTAATGGTTGCAAATGCACAATTTCTGAAGGATCGGCTTGCTGGACATCATGCCGAACCTCATAAACTTGTGGTCCAACTTGCCACAATATATGATACGGTCCTTTCCATTGAGCAAGGAGCCGCTTACATAAACCACGTACTGTAAGATGGGAAAAACAGACTAACACCAAGTCATCCACTTTGTACTCCACAGGTGGACGATGATAGCAGTTGTAGTGCCATTATTGCCCCACTTGTACATAGCCTAAGTGTTTCGTAGACTTTGCTCTGACAAGTGGAAGAATGCTCATCAAATACTAATCCCATGACCTAGCATTAGCAGCTTGTGGCAATTTCAAAGGTAAACCTAGCTCTGCTAGTAATATTAGATCATGACTATATAGGAGTTTATATGGTGAAACACCAATAGAACTTTGCACCCCTGTGACATATGCATACCGAAGAGACGGCAAATAACCATCCCAATCTAAATGCTAAAAGTTCACGTACTTTGCGATCATTTATTTGAATGTCCGAATGAGTTATTCCACTAAACCGTCTGACTGTGGATGATAAACACTTGTGAAAGTGTGGCATATCCCCAATCGAGACGTCAAAATATAAAATGCTTCAGCCATAAATGCGGGACCATTATCTAAAAGAATCTGCTCCGGACAAGAATGCTAGAACACCACTCGATTGAGGAGGAAGTATCCAATAGTAGTTGTAGAGGCACTAGTAAGAGCACCGACTTCCACCCAACAAGTCAAATAGTTAGAAGCAATAATAACATATTCATTGCCGGCAGTCGATTGTGGAAAAGGTCCTATAAAATCAAATACCACTAACTTAAACAGATGGGAAACTGCAATTGACTTTAATTGTCCTTTCACAACACGAGAGGGAGTATTACAAGTTTGGCACCAAATGCAACTACGCACAAACCAGATAATATCATGTCACATCTCCAGCTAATAAAAAGACTTGCATAGCTTCTCGGTCACACAATGATGTCCTATATGCCCGCTTAGAATAGGAGAATCATGGTAGGCATAGAGAAACTATGGAATAAAGACAAAAGGCACCATTAGCTATAAATGATCATCAGGATCCATCCCCACAAAATAAAGAAGGCTATCTTCAAGGTGATATTGAGGATATAAATACCAGAATGGCAAGTCATCAACAAGTGATATAAGATTCTCAAACCCATCTCAAAGCTTTCAAATCCATGGCTCAATTTTTTGAACTTCGCGGACCTCATTAAGAGAAGGTAGATCTTGCTCTACACCTTGTGGACACTGAACATCAAGTACAACAATTGCCGATAGCACAGAATCCTCGTCTAGAAAATCCACAAATGCTAGAACAATAGGCTCGTCAGAAACATGAGAAGAGAGTGGAGAAGGAAGAGAAGCTCAAGAAAGGGCATTAGCATTAGCCATAAAACTCTTTAGGCAATAAACAACATCAAAATTATATATCTGAAGCTTCAAAGCCCATCGAGTAATACAATTAACTAAGTTCTTTCGCTTCAATAATGAAGTGTAGCACATGTGATCATGGGATGAGATTTAGATATATTGTCACTATGGATCTTTGGAACCTTGGGGGATAAATAGGGATAAAATAGCCACTAAGGGCTTTCTCTCATAAAATAATTGCCCTTTTTCTAGTTGGCTTAAGAGGAGAAAGATAAGGTGCGCTATAGTTGGTATTAGAGCAAATGGCATGGGTTCGATTCCCATTGATTAGTGGCTACTTAAAATATATTATACCCTTGAGCAAGGTATATTCCTACCCCTAAATTTAAAATCATACATATTGGCATCCATGCGTATGTCCTTCCTCTTGTGTGGAGTATTCACGGACGAAGGTATCGTGGGACTGCGGTATGGATGGATGA